CAGTGGACACCTGGTTCCTACTTTCACTAATTATAATTTTACAGGACAAGCTGTTGCTTTACCCGCATGTCTGGGGAATTTGCCATATTTTCTCCCTCTCACACCTACTTGGAAAAGTGCTCTGTTATGGAATGGTACTCAGTTTCTTGATTAAAAACTAGAAATTTTCAGCTTTAATGCCACTGAGCCATATAATGCTACACATTGGCCTCACATTCTCTGCTGTCATGACAAATGCAATCCTGGCACCCCCATAAGGCAGCCTCATGAGAACAATGTATATTTGCTTCTCCAATGGCTGTTACTTTTATAGGCTACAAGCTTGCATACTGGTCTTATAATGGCACTTCTGAAACTAATATTATGGGGTATTGGACCACCCCTCTGGTGGGACCAGACGGAGGAACCATTCAATCAGATATATGGAAGCTCGGAGCTGCTACTGGTAATATCAATCTAACTAGCCATTCAGGCAGCTCTGTTATTAAAGGCTTACAAGCTTGTGTTCAACATCCTTTTGCTTTATTGGCTGGATAAATTAACATCTCTAAAAACAGAACTATTTTTGATATCTCTTGTTCTAATTGCAATTTAACTTCATGTGTGATAATTACATAAATGGCAGCCTACTTATAGTAAAACAAATCCCCTATATCTTGGTATCTCCAAATTTCATGGGACCATTGTATCATGACAGAGGACTACAGGTTGTCAAAGAAATAAAATCATTATTAGTAAGGGAAAAAAGATTTGTAGGGCTCTTGAAAGCAGGCATTGTGGCAGCCATCACTGCTACTGCTGCCATGGCTACTGCTGCAGTAGCCCTCTCCCAAAGCATTCAAAATGCTCATTACATTAATACCTCAACATAAATTGTCAGTTATGCCTTTCAACAAGTTGCTATACATGAAAAAATTGATATCCACTTAAATTCTCTAGAAGCTGCTTTGCTGGCTATGGGAGATGAAGTTCAAATGCTGAAATTCCATCAAGATTTACTGTGCCATGCAGGCTTCCAACATATTTGTGTTACTGCAGCACCCTACAATGCCACAGACTTCCCATGGAAACTCATTAAAGCACATGTCATGGGAGCCTGGGAAAATAACAATGACTCCCTTAATCTACGAGCCTTAAGACAGCAAATTTTAGCCATGCAAGTGAGCACACGATCAGATGGCTGCTCCTGCAGATATAGCAAGAGCTACATTAAATGAATTGCAAGGATTCAACCCTTTTAATACTCTAAAATATTCCTTTTGGTATTTCATTGGCATTGTGTTATTATGATTTGTTGTTTTTGCTTACTTTCAGTAGGAACTCGAAAAATCAAAAGGCAACTCCTTGAATTAAACATAGAAATGCATTGGGAGCTTTTAAGAAATAGAGTAGGGGGAGATATTGGGGACCAGGCATGACCCTGGACTGGGAATAATGGAGTTTGCCTAGCCTCTCTATACAGAAGTTTGCACAACCTCTCCATGTAGAAGTTTGCACAGCCTCTTCTACCATAATTTCCCCAGTACCTGTTGTCTTGACCTTTGTTCTCACATCTCCTTGAAGAATACAACCTGCTGTGTCAGCATACCAGCCCCCTGATGCAAAACTAGATTAAGTACCAGAACTCTTAGGAGACTCCCTGATGCAAAGATTAATCAATACCGTAGATAAGGTGTCCTGCACGCCTAGATGATTCCAGAACTGATGTGTTGTAATTAAGCTTCATTAGTCTTAGGAAAATTAGCCCACTAAACCTCATTCCTTTTACCTTGCATCAAGAATTGTTAAAGCTTGAGTTTTACCTGAGTCTTTTCCTTGTACTGACCTATAAAATAAACACTCTGGCTCAGGTAGGTGCTCACGTTTCCCATCAGGAATGTGCAGCCCTCCTGATACTAGTGTTCTGTTTTTATGTTGTATGTCAGTATGTTTGTGTGTGTTTTATTTCTTGTTCCCCATCACTCTTAGTCAGGCTCACGCAGCGTACCCATGCAGGCTGGGGCATCTTACCATTTAGATTTTGCTTAGTTATTTTGCTTTCTCTCCTCTCTCTTCCTTTTGCCTAACTTCTTTTTTTTAAAATCTGGTTTCAATAAAATAGCAGCTCATATTTTCTTACTGTTTGCTGCCACCATGTGGTTATTACTGTACATGAAAAAAGTCTGAGTTTCTAAAGCTGTCAGAATAGGGAGAATAAGATTTAAAAAAAAAAAAATAATGATGCAAGGGCCCTGAGTCATGAATGTAGCATATTTTATATGGCTGTCATATAGTGAACATTCTTTAGAATTCCATTAATCAGAGTCTAAACTTTTCTTGAAGTAGTCTCCCATTCCTAATTCAAGTTTGAAGCAAGATGCATAATTACTCTGGGAACAAAATAATTGTTGATCTGGTTTTGAATGGACTCCAGAAAAGTACATAGAAAGCTGAATCTAATATCTACAGTAGCTTTCTTATAAGCCTCATTTTGGTCTGGAACTTGCAATATTGGTAAAAAGCATTTTGGCATTCTCTAAGTTGTAAGAATTGAAGAAAACCAGTTTTAAAAATTAGAATATATTTATAATCCTTCTTCCAAGAAAATTTTTCATAAGAAGTAAGTATGATTGTCATAATCTCCCCATTATAGCTCACTTCTTCAGTTGCCACCATTCTAAACCAAATCTGATTATACAGCTATCTTGTTTTTAAATGATTCCATTGGCTTCCTATTACTTATAGGCTATAATACAGACTTCTTGTAAGACCCTTTATAAATTAATCCAAACTCCTTTCTCCACCTTCACTTTTGTTATCTCCCATAAATAAACATTGTCACTATGCCTGTGTTAGTTACTGAAACAAATATCAAAGACTAATCAGTTTATAAGGAGACAGGTTTATTCTGGCTGACAATTTAAGAAGTTTCAGTCCATGATCAACTGCCCTTATATTTTAGGGTTGTGGCAATGGAGCCCATAATGGTAGCAGTGCATAGCAGAGTAAAGCATTTGTGTCATGAGTGGAGGAGTACAGCCCTGAGTCCCTCTAACGTCAAGAAGGGCACATCCAAATGACTTGGAGACCTTTTATCAGACCCCACCTTTTAAAGTTTCCACCATCTCCCAATTGCAACAAGCTAGGGAATAAGCCTTTAATACATGGACCTTTGGGGGGCATTCCAGCTCCAAACGCTATCAATGTCTTTTCAATATTCAACCTGGTTTAACTCTCTTAACATGCGTGCAAATTAAGAACTGCTTTCACAATCTATAATATACCTTACTTATATGTTTTCATTGCAATTAGACAAAAAAAAATCAGTGCAACAAAAATGAGAGCCCAATCAACAGGGTTTCTTCCATTAAATACAATGCTGACAGTATGTGATTGTTTACTTGTACTGTTTCTCTTCCCTTGAGTGAAGGTGACTTTCTTCATGTGTTTATTTGTGGGGGAGCTCCCAAATATGGCCTCAAGCTGATGTAACTCCTTTGTGATTTGAAGAATAGGATGTGTTTTGGCTAAGAGTGCCCATGGGCCAGCTGCAGTTCTGAGGGTGGAGATTTTGTTCTTTTGAGATAGGGTCTTGCTATGTAACCCAGGCAGTCCTGGAACTCACTACATAGCTCAGACTTACCTCAATTCATGATTCTCCTGTCTCTGCCTTCTGCGTGTTTCAGACCCTCCCTACCACCTCCAGCATGTGGCTTGGGTAAGTGTTCCTGTGGGCCAGATCCAGTTCTGAGGATGGAGATTTTTAGACCAACCCATTTTGGATTTTTTGAGACATCATCTTGCCATGTAACCCAGTCTGACTGGAACTTACTCTGTATCCCTGACTGACTTCCACTCATGATTCTCCTGCCTCAGCCTTCTGAATGCTTTTGGACCCTTTTTATTTTTTGAAAGACCCTTCCTCCTCTCTTCCTCCATCTTCTCCCCTTCCCTTCCCTTCCCTTTCTTTCCTCCCTCTGTTCCCTTCCCTTCCCTTTCTTTCCTCCCTCCCTTCCTTCCTTTCTTCTTTCTTCCTGCAGTGCTGGAGACTGACTCATGGCCTTGCTCATGTTAGGCAAGCTCTCTGTCACTGGGTTGCATCTCCACCTATCGTTTCTTTTGAGACAAGGTCTCACCATGTAGCCCAGGCTGGTCTTGAACTAGTGATCCTCCTGCCTTTGTCTTCAAAATGCTGAGATTACAGACATATGCCATCATGTTCAGCTTGTGTCACAGTTTTTTCTTTTCTGGTACTGAACTTGCACTTCTTAGGCAGGCACTCTACCACTTAAGCCACTCTGTCAGCCTGTGTCATATTCTTATTGTCACCAATCTACCCACCATAAAGTTATCAAATGGATTACCATTACATTACTCTTCATATTCTGAGGTTCTGTAATATTGAGCCTATTTTGAATTGTTCCCACTTTTGTAATATGCACCATGATCTCAATTAGAATGTCAGTTTTTGTTCATTGCATATACAAAGTACAGTGCAAGGCACTAAGTGTACATGAGTACTTGGGTAAATTTGTATTGAATGAAGAAAGAATAAATGATCAGAAATACACTATCTATCTATCTATCTATCTATCTATCTATCTATCTATATATATATATATATCACCAGCATGTTCAGTATACACAGCTACATGAAATCCCCTTAAAAGTTCCTGGCTGCATAGATTCCAGCAAGATCCTGTTTAGAGATATCAGCTTCAAAAGTTTTCTTGCTTTGTGACTATGGAGAAAAGAGAAGAAAGAGAGTGTGATTCAGGGATTGTCAAGGGTTGACTATAATTCTAATTATATATGGGTAACAGGACTTGCTAAAGGAAATCAAACCAAGATCTAGAATAGGCTCATCAGATATTTACCCTGAAATATTATAGATTTTTTGATGAGGGAATTAGAGACATCTTCCAGAGGATTTGTGCTCTGCTCTTCTGTTTTATCATGCAGTGGAAGGAATATGAGATCAATTAACAAATTTGTTTATGATTTTGTATATAGCTTTCATTTCACTCTGGTTTTGACAGTGAAAAGAAGACGTGGGATAGGGAGTACAAGTTTTGGTTACCTGTGCTGCAGGGAGCACTATATTCAGCAAAAGCTGCTTCATCTGAAAGACACAAGGGAAAACAACTTGAGAATGGGAGCCTCCATGTGAAAGGGTTTGGGGAGGGCCATTTATGTATTAGGAATGTAAGCTCTCCTGAATCAGGACCTGCATAATTGCTGAAAATCAGCTCTCTATGGAAAGACTAGCATGGTCAAGAATTTTCTCCTCATGAAGCAATAGATATAACCCCTTACACTGGGGGAAAATAAGTCTGCTCATACCACAGTGCTCAAGCAAAGTGCTAGCAGGGATCATGAAAGGTTTTAATCCTGCAGTTTTCTTTTCATATTTGTTACTTTTTTTCCTTTGTGATATTTCTTATATGTCTCTGCTAATCTAAAACACAGGGCATGGTCTACTCCATTAATCATAATAATACATTTTACAATGCACCTCAAATTTTGCGTTCTTTGTTTAGTCTTCAGTGATCACTCAGGCTATAACTCTCTCATCTGTAATGTCTACTATAATTATCTGATTTTTCAACCTCTTATATATTGCCCTGCATTTCCATATTCATAACAAGATTTAGGTAACTTGGGGGATTCCAAGATGACGGCTAAAGGGAGGAAGCAGAAAGCATGCCTTCTAAAGTGAAATCTTGGAGAGATGCTGGAGACACACCTTACAGGCAAGGCCACCGAGAAGAGGCAAAATTTTGACCCCTCCACACTTCAAGCCTGTGCAGAGCATCTCCACTTCATGTTAAACAGAGAAACCAGGAGGGCCCCCGGGCCGCTGACAGATGCCTGCTCCCAGACAGCTTGGGAAGATGCAGACAAGGTGAGCTAAGCAGTACACGGTACTCCCACAGACAAGCCTGGGCCAGATCACCATAGTCCCCTGCATGGACTGACCCCCACCCCGGGGAAAAAAGAGAAACTGAGTAATAAGCAATAAGAACAATAAGGACACATAGCAAAGAGGGTGGGGCACCCTGAGCACCCAAGAGAATGGGAAGGGAATCACTCACAGAACTGTAAATAAACAAGGTGGGCCTGGCCAGAGAGGGTGGGAGCGGGGGCGTGTGCCCAGCAACCAGGAGCAGGAAAGCTTGTGAGAGTGGCAGTGGGAGGAAAACTCCAAAGGAGAGAGGGGAAGACCCACCTCCCAAGTGAGCTGTAAACAAACATGCTGGCTGGCAGGAGCAGCAGCACACGCCCAGCAATCAGGAGCGGGAAGGCTTGTAAAAACAGGGATGGGAGGAAAACTCCACAGGAGAGGGGGGAAGACCCACTTCTCACACGAGTTGTAAATAAACATGCAGGCCTGAGAAAGTGGGTGCAGTGTCACCTTTCCCAGTGTGCTTGGAAAGGGGAAAGCTTGCATCAGCGGCTCCTGCACAGGAGAACTCTGAGTAAACAAAGCCTGCGGAGCCAAGTGAGTGTTAAACTCGCCCCAGAGATCTGCATAAATAACACCTCCAGCAACAGCAGAGGCAGTGGGCAGGCAAGCCACAGCCCCAGATACCATTTACAGAACTGTCTCGAGACTCTTTTTTTTTTCTCTCCCTACCTTTGATGAGACAACAACCTAACTACACCTGCATGCTGAAAAACTTACTGAAACTGTATTGCAATTGAACTTGGGACACTTTGTGGGATTTTTTTTGTGTGTGTGCAGTTTTGTTCTATTTTATGTTTCCCCTTTGATGAGACAACTACAGAACAACATCTGAGTACCATCTCCAGGATTGGAGGCTGAGGGACAAACACCAAAATTATTAAGACTGAAACCTCATTGCATTTGAACTTGGCAGGTTTTTTTTATTTTTTATTTTATTTTTTAATTCATTTTTATTTTTATTTACTTTGTTTATATATATTTTTCTTTCATTTACTTATTTTTCATTTTTATTCTTATCTTTATTCTTTTTATTTTTTATTTTTAATCCTGTCTCTCTAATGCCATTTCAGCTTACAATTGTTTAGTACACTCTCTCCCTGTTTATATCTTTGAAACTTTTTTGTTTGTTTCTTTGTTTTGTTTTTTTCTACTTGATTATTTGTTTTTCCATTTTCCTTTAACTTCTTTGCTTTCCATCCCCTCTCACCCTTCCATTCTAAATATCACTAGTGCTATCATTACAAGCCAAAAAATACTTAATTGCACACAGTACAGGGGCCATATATGACAAACCTGACTAAAATTAGGAGAGAAAAAAACCCAAATTGGTAGAATCAGGAATGCAAAAGGGGAGATAACAACAAATACCATGGAAGTCCTGGAAATCATCAGAGACTACTTTGAGAAGCTATATTCAAATAAATTCAAAAATCTTAAAGAAATGGACAGATTTCTAGATACATATGATCATCCAAAACTGAACCAAGAGGAAATTAATCACCTGAATAGATCTATAACACAAAATGAAATTGAAGCAGCAATCAAGAGTCTCCTCAAAAAGAAAAGTCCAGGACTTGATGGATTCTCTGCTGAATTCTATCAGACCTTTAAAGAAGAACTCATATCAACCCTCCTTAAACTGTTCCACAAAATAGAAAGGGAAGGAAAACTGCCTAACACATTTTATGAAGCCAGTATTATATCAAAATTTTGATATAATTTTGGGTTTTATCCCCAAACCAGGCAAAGACACCTCCAAAAAGGAGAACTATAGGCCAATCTCCTTAATGAACATTGATGCAAAAATCCTCAATAAAATAATGGCAAACCGAATTCAACAACACATCAAAAACATTATTAACCACAACCAAGTAGGCTTCATCCCAGGAATGCAGGGGTGGTTCAACATATGAAAATCAACAAACATAATAAACCACATTAACTAAAGCAAAGACAAAAACTGCTTGATTATCTCAATAGATGCAGAAAAAGCCTTTGATAAGATCCAGCACCATTTCATGATAAAAGCTCTAAGAAAACTAGGAATAGAAGGAAAGTTCCTCAACATTATAAAAGCTATATATGACAAACCTACAGCCAGCATTATACTTAATGGAGAAAAACTGAAACCATTCCCTCTAAAATCAGGAACCAGACAAGGATGTCCACTATCTCCACTCCTATTCAACATAGTACTGGAATTCCTAGCCAGAGCAATTAGGCAAGAAGAAGGAATAAAAGGAATACAAATAGGTAAAGAAACTGTCAAAATATCCCTATTTGCAGATGACATGATCCTATACATAAAAGATCCAAATAACTCTACTCAAAAGCTCCTAGACACCATCAACAGCTATAGCAAGGTAGCAGGATATAAAATCAACATAGAAAAATCATTAGCATTTCTATACACTAATAATGAACAAACTGAGAAAGAATATATGAAAACAATTCCATTTACAATAGCCTCAAAAAAAAAATCAAATACCTAGGTGTAAACCTAACAAAAGATGTGAACGACCTCTACAGGAAAACTATAAACTTCTGAAGGAAGAGATTGAGGAGGACTATAGAAAGTGGAGAGATCTCCCATGCTCATGGATTGGTAGAATCAACATAGTAAAAATGTCTATACTCCCAAAAGTAATCTATATGTTTAATGCAATTCCCTTCAAAATTCCAATGACATTCATTAAAGAGATTGAAAAATCTTCTGTTAAATTTATATGGAAACACAAGAGGCCACGAATAGCCAAGGCAATACTCAGTCAAAAGAACAATGCTGGAGGTATCATGATACCTGACTTTGAACTATATTACAAAGCAATAATAATAAAAACAGCATGGTACTGGCACAAAAACAGACATGAAGACCAGTGGAACAGAATAGAGGACCCAGATATGAAGCCACACAACTATAACCAACTTGTCTTTGACAAAGGCACTAAAAATATACAATGGAGAAAAAACAGCCTCTTCAACAAAACTGCTGGGAAAACTGGTTAGCAGTTTGCAAAAAACTGAAACTAGATCCATGTATATCACCCTATACCAATATTAACTCAAAATGGGTCAAGGATCTTAATATCAGACCCTGAACTCTAAACTTGATACAGGAAAGAGTAGGAAATACTCTGGAGTTAGTAGGTATAGGTAAGAACTTTCTCAATGGAACCCCAGCAGCACAGCAACTAAGAGATAGCATAGATAAATGGGTCTTCATAAAACTAAAAAGCTTCTGTTCATCAAAAGAAATGGTCTCTAAACTGAAGAGAACACCCACAGAGTGGAGAAAATATTTGCCAGCTACACATCAGACAAAGGACTGATAACCAGAATATACAGGGAACTTAAAAAACTAAATTCTCCCAAAACTAATGAACCAATAAAGAAATGGGCAAGTGAACTAAACAGAACTTTCTCAGAAGAAGAAACTCAAATGGCCAAAAAACACATGAAAAAATGCTCACCATCTCTAGCAATAAAGAAAATGCAAATTAAAACCACACTAAGATTCCACCTCACCCCTGTTAGAATAGCCATCATTAGCAACACCACCACCAACAGGTGTTGGCGAGGATACATGGAAAAAGGAACCCTCTTACAGTGCTGGTGGGAATGTAACTAGTACAACCACTCTGGAAAAAAATTTGCAGGCTACTTAAAAAGCTAAACATTGATCTACCATTTGATCCAACAATACCACTCTTGAGGATATACCCAAAAGACTGTGACACAGGTTACTCCAGAGGCACCTGCACACCCATGTTTATTGCAGCACTATTCACAATAGCCAGATTATGGAAACAACTAAAGCTCCCTCCTACTGATGAATGGATTGAGAAAATGTGGTATCTATACACAATGGAATTTTATGCAGCCATGAAGAAGAACGAAATGTTATCGTTTGCTGGTAAATGGATGGAATTGGACAAATCATTCTGAGTGAGGTAAGCCTGGCCCAAAAGACCAAAAATCATATGTTCTCCCTCTTATGCAGACATTAGAACAAGGGCAAACACAGCAAGGGGATTGAACTTTGATCACAAGATAAAAGCGAGTGCACAGAAGGGAGGTATGAAGATAGATAAGACACCTAAAAATTTAGCTAGCATTTGTTGCCCTCAACGCAGAGAAACTAAAGTAGATACCTTAAAAGCAACTGAGGCCAATAGGAGAAGGGGACCAGGAACTAGAGAAAAGATTAGATCAAAAAGAATTAAACTAGAAGGTAACACACATGCACAGGAAATTAATGTGAGTTAACTCCTTGTATAGCTACCCTTATCTCAACTAGCAAAAACCCTTGTTTCTTCCTATTATTGCTTATACTCTTTCTTCAACGAAATTAGACTTAAGGGCAAAATAGTTTCTGCTGGGTATCGAGGGTGTTGGGGGGGAGAGGGTGGGGGCGGGGTGAGTAGTAAGGGAGGAGGTGGGGGCAGGAGGGAGAAATGACCCAAGCATTGTATGCACATATGAATAATAAAAAAATAAAAATAAAAATAAAGATTTAGGTAACTCTTTATAAGCATTTCTTTGCAAAATTCTTGGCACTTTGGAAAATATTGCATGGTCCTTTAGCCTCATGTTATAGTTTTACAGAAGTCTTGTAGGACAAGGAGGCTGTAATAAGGCATTGGTGACAGAATAAATTGAAAATGGAACTAAAACACTTGTTGCACCCTAATTTCTTCACTAAGAATTGAGTTTATTTAGGGTCCTTAGTTCTTTCTTGCTCACCTGTTTCATAGTAGTCATAGACTTTCACAAGAGCAGGTTTTAGGTTTCGTACAGGGATGTCTTGCTGAACGGTGAAGGAAAAACTCAGTGTCTGACTGGTAACCTAAGAAAGGAAAAAATAATAATCCAGAAGTAGGGAGGCTACATCACTTTTTCTTTAATATGGCTCAATCTTTATTCATTGAGAAACAAATTTGATATTGACAGATAGCATTCAGTATCAAATTCACTGTGTTACATAATTGCTCATGCATGTGGGTATGGATTTTAGAGTAGCAACAAAAGGAACTAAAGTTAGGACTCCTGAGAGTAGGTAAGAAAGCTATCAATCTTTAAAACAACTCCAGTAATCCATATTCCTCTTGAATGTCCAATACAGAGCTCTTTCCATTGTGAGAGATAAATCATTTTAATGGTAGACTGACTCTATCCATATTGATATTTCCAAATGATCAGGAAACAGAGATACACTGAGATACACTGTAGTGGGGTTCTGGAATGGCTAATGAAATCAATTGTAGTATATTGTTACAAAACTAATAGTGCTCAATATATCTAGACTGATAGCATACTTATTATATTTGTCTTATCTAAAGTAGATAGACGTCTACTTTATCTATAATCTAATTCTTTGAAATTGGTAAAATCTTTGATTAAACGCTACCTGTAATAAACAATTTTCTACGTGACTTCTAGATGATACAATCCTATTTATGGAAAAGAGTGTTTACCTTAAGTATAGAAATACTCATACTTCCATTTTAGCATAAATATATGCTAAATCCCCTCCCCCAACCCCTCTATACTCCAAGTCCTAGGGAAGCCTGTAATGAGGAAACAGAACTGGCAGTATTATCTAATGAGAACAGAGGGGATGTGCTTTTCCAAATGCTTTCTTTAGGACTGTTCTTCTCAAGCCATATGCTTCCCAGGTGAAGACACCCACCAAGAAGGACTCCACCTAGGTACATCTAGCAAGGCTGGCAGGACCCTCACCTGGTCCAGATAAATCAAGACATTATTGCTGCTCACTTCTGTCCGGCTCATGTGGCTTGATCTTGTAAGCTGAGGAAAAGAAAGAAATCATTGGTGTTACTGAATAACTGAAGCTGTTGGGATTCTAAAGAGACAAATGAACTATGGGATTGAAGTTGATATAAAAAATAAATTGGGATTAGGGCTGGCAGAGTGGCTCAAGTGGTTGAGTACCTGCTTAGCAAGTGTGAGGCTTTGAGTTAAAAAAGTAAACTGGGGTTAAATTCTTTTAAATGAACTTGAAGACACTCGCCCAGTAAAAATGAAAACATTTAGAAAATTGTGAGAACTACTACATTAAATGCAAGATTGAATATTCACATGACTAAGTGACAGGTATTTTAAATTTTTGTTTCAAGGTAAAAAAGGAGTATCCTCAAGTTTAATATTTATGTGACATCATCTGTGAAAGTATCTTTCTCTACTCTACTATTGATCTCAGCTTTTTCTTCATTTTTATACTGTTTTAACAGCTGTAACCGAAAGCTGGTGCATGGCTCAAGGGGTAGCAAGTGTGAGACACAGTTCAAACCTCAATATCACACACACACACACACAAAAAGGCTCTACCAACAATTTTGGCACTGAATTTATCAGCCTTGAATTGTTTGTTACCAGTATCAGGTACCCACTTTTAATCCACTTAACTAGCATGTAGCTCATCAATGCAGACACCTTTCTTATATTTCTTTCTTTTTCTTTTTTTTTCGGTTCCGGGGCTTGGACTCAGGGTCTACACTTTGAGCCACTCCAACAGCCCTTTTTTGTGAAGGGTACTTTTGAGATAGAGTCTAGAGGAACTATTTGCCTGGGCTGGCTTCAAACTGCGATCCTCCTGATCTCTGCCTACCGAATTGCTAGAATTACATGCGTGAGACACCATCCTCGGTTCCTTTCTTATATTTCTTGTAATTATATCTAGCACAATGCTACTAGTCATCTTTGGTGCCACAGACATTCAGTTTTGTTAGATTAGGACCAATGTTGCTTTGACACAGGTTGCCATTGTTAGAATGCTGTTTTAGGTCTTGAGCTGAGGATTCAGAAAATCCAAATATCTAGCACATACTTACCAGTTTCACTGTTGTTTTCAGCGGAATGAAACCAGATACCATCTTTACATCCACAATCACCATGTTGGAGACTGGACGGCTCCCTGTGTAACTACAGATACAGGAAAGGAAAGAAACAGTCCTCTTTTCGTTAACAGAATAGATGTACCCATTGAATGTGGATATTCGTGGATAGTGTCATATCAATATTTTGAATCTTTCCTGTTGAGGTACATCATAAGATGTGACATCTTTAAGTAATTTTGTTAACTCCTGCCTTATTCTACTGACCTTTCCATTCCTTATATGTAGCTTTTATTGCCACTGTGAAAGGTTCTAAAAACTGTATAACACAATCACCTAAAAAGTGTGTTTTGGATTAATGATCTCTTTCTTCATGCAAGATTATCTTCAGAAATAGACCATAAGACTCCTTTATGTAAGAGACCATATCTATATTTACATTACATGTAGCTATCTTTCCTATCTTGCTTTTATGAAACACATTTAACTTATTTGTCTATTGATGATGGATCAAGTTTTGAGCATTATTTTCTTGTTTCACTCCAAATCCATCAGATTTTGTACTTATAAACAGGCACAGGTGGTATTCTATGTAAAACATTTGAAGAACATTTCTGAACACTTTATTGTTGTTGTTGCTTGCGATGCTGGGGATCCAACTCAGAGCCTTGTGCTTTCTACACAAGTGTATACCAATGATTTTCAGTCCTTGAATGCTGGTTCTTTTTTCTCCAGAAAAACAGTATTTTTGACCAGAAGAATTTCCTTTAGAGTTAAAGAGGAGTGATAGTATTATTGAAAAGAGTAATTTATTCTTCAATTATGATGGTGGGTAGTAAAAGAATACCAGAAGCAGACTAATTGGGACTTACAACTCTACAAATCCTTCATTGTCTCATTGGTAAAGACAATTTTTTTAGACAAAGCAAAAACTTAATGAAAAGTCTTACTTTAAATATGCTTGAATCTATTTACTGAAGACTTCTAGGTAAGTAATATTTTAATACTTAGGTAAAAAAGACAGATATTCTTACCTGACTTCTAGTGAGATCTGGAAGCTTTTGTGGGCTTTGAGTCCATCACAAGTTTGAGGTACTGTCTGTACTTGCAGAGTGAATGCAGATTGTTTCTTCTCCAAGAGGACATTGTATTTCAGAGCTGTCTGTTAAATTAATCAATAGAAATAATTTACCTCCAATCCACAGGATCCCTCAATCTGTTGCTATTTCTTTTCTCCCAATTTGTACATTATTTGTGTAGGGATGCTTTCAGTTGCATCTCTCCAACTTTCCTCAAGAATCTTACCTGGGTATACATACATCCTTCCCCTGACACATTTATGTCATAGTCCCCAGGAAGGTCTGGTAATGTGACCTGCTGTAGTAAAAGGCGATTACTGTTGTCCACTTGGAATTTTGTGGAAAATGTCCCTGAAGACTGGATGGTCACCAAAGAAGCTTTCCCAGATTTGGCAAAAGTAGCTGCTCCGTATCTGGACAAAGCATGAAGAGCTACCACGGTGTCCTGGAATAGAGATGAATGTGTAAGTTCAGGGTAGTGGCAAGTTGTAGGGGATGGGCCAAAATTCATTTTTGCTATTACAAAGGTGCCATGAGGTTTTCTCTCCCATTATTTGAACTCTGCCCTTTAATCCCAAGACTTATTTAAAAAATATCTGAGAATCAAAATGTTCATATAATTTTGCTATAAAGTTGCCATCAACAAGCAAATTCTTTCATAGCAAGTAGAAAATGTAAACATGAATCTTGTTCACTTCCTTATATTTGCTTGTCTGTGCCTGTAACAGTCATAATAATGTCCACCATCTGTGGACCAAATTACATTGCTATCTGTCATCACTAAACTCTCTTCTGCATTTGATGTACCTTCCAGGCAGTCACAGAATATTGATCATACTGCACTCTGATCTGCACTTCCTGCCCCAGAAGATCTCTCCCTCTAGAGTTTCTTTTTATTTTTCATATAAATTGTCCTTGATACTCTCATGTAGACAATGGGACTCAAATAAGAGAAAAGAAACATGCAAAGGAAGTTTCAATATCACAATGAGGAGTGTTCATTTCAAAGAGAAGAGTCAGAGAATTGAATTGCAAAGTAGAGTGGCAAGTATAATTGGAGGTTTCTCTCCCTGAATTTTCATTCCTTCTTTAGCAGACTCTACCATTTGATCAAACTTCTCTGAAGATACATTCTCCTATGAATGCTCAGACTACTAAGTGTAGAAAGTATAGGTATTATGTTAGGTATGTGCTTTTTTTTTTTTTTGGAAATAACCTGATAAGAGTTATATTAGCTGTATGATAAGTTGAGTAGTTTGCATTTCTGATTGATACCAAGTATTGGGAGGTGGAGAGTTCCTGCTACTTTGTGAAAACTCAAGGAGGATGTATTCACAAAGAAGATTGGGAGAATCTGACAGGAGAGGAAGGAAAATAGGTGTGAGGGTGCTTTGTATGACACTTCTTAGACAAACCACTGTGCTTGTTCAGTTTAAGGAATTACTTGCAGGATTCTAGACATTCCAGAAGTTTTGCCATTGGTGGTAAGTCAACGTTTGGCTCCAGGTTGGAGGGATGATGCCACCATGATTTAGTAAAATGGTCCCATTCCTTCCACAGGGAATGGGAGAGTTTGTTTTGGGGGAATGTTTGAAGCTCTTTTTCTTATTTCCTATAGATTCAAAATACCTGTTCTTAATTTTCTATACTCTTCATCTCCTGACCATTTCTCTTGTGATTACTCATTTGTCTCTAGTTCATATCTACTACCTCTATCCCAACTCTAAGGCAAGGATGCCCCTGAGGGAATCACTCACCTGTGTGGAGGAGAAACCGCCATGGGAATTCTGTTGCTTTGTGATCCACTTCACAATGTGTGCTGCAGATGTCAGGTCTTCTGGGGTTGGAGCTGGTTGGGCGGTGAGGTGAGAGAGGAGCACATAGGCTGTCATCTCTACCTCAGCAGAGCGAGCTGGAGGTTGGTACAAGAGACCCACTGGTGTACTGGGTTTCTGAGGCCTTTCCCAATGGACTGAGTTGTCTTAAAGATAAGAATAAAGAAAGAATAACTGTGAGTATTCACCATGGGACTATATGTCTATAGTTAGGAAGAAATATAGCAAAATTTGTGTAGGATTTTTAATTTCAATTATAATACTCCTAGCTCTAGTAACCTAGAGTAAAAAATTGAACTTGATATGGTATAGCATGGCTAAAGGAAATCATGAAAAATAGTACTAAGCATAGTGAAGATAGGCATTTGTAAGAACAACTGAACTGTTTTCTCAAATACTGCTTTGGTAGAGTTGGTTAAGAAAAAATGGCAGCCATGATTCCCTCACTGCCTCAGACCCAATCTAAAGTTACTTCATCAGTGATTAGTTGAACTGAAATACAAAAGCTTCTGACTAATTTCATAGTTGTAATTGAAATAGTTAAACTGGGAGCTTTCTTTTTTCCCTCCTCCCTCTCCCTCTTTCTCTTCTTTCCTTCTTTCCTTCCTTCTTCCCTGTTTCCCTCCTTCCTTCTCTCCTTCCCTTCCTCTCTCCCTCCCTCCCTTCCTTCTCCTGAGCATTAAGTCCAGGGACATGCTTTACCACTAAGCTATATCCTTAACCCTGAAAGCTATTATAGATGACAGTTCCTTTCCTATGGATTTTGGTAGCTTTTATGAATTCTGATATACATATATGTATGATAAAGAAAAGTACATATGTCAACTTTTCTCTTTGTAAAGGGAGATTGAAATGCTTGAGTTGTTCTGTTACATTACCTTTGGCGATTTTTTTTTCTCTACATAACAAAATATTTAAGGAAGACTTGGGATTCAGGCATGTGGCTAACTACTCATGAGAGGAGGATTATGGTTTGAGGCCAGTCTGGGCAAAAAGTTACTGAGACCCACCTGAACACAGGCATGGTAATGCAAAGTTGTACTCCTAGCTAGGTGGGAGGATTGTGGTCCAGCGGTTCTGGGCAAAAATGTGGGACCCTATCTGAAAAATAACTAAAGCAAAACCAGGCATGGTATCTCATTCTTATAATCTTAGCTATTCAAGAGGCAGAGATCTGGATGTCAATTCAAGGCTAATCTGGGCAAAACTTCACAACTATTGCAATCAATAAAAAGCTGGGAGTGGTCAAGTGTACCCATCATCTCAGGTATGCAGGAAGCATTTATAAGAGATTGCAGTCTAGGATGGTCCATGCAAAATATGTGACCTTATTTAAAAAATAACTAAAAAGTTAAAAGGACTGAGGTGTGGCTCAAGTGGTAGAATGCCTACCTAGCAGGCATAAAGCCCTGAGTTCAAACTCCAGTACCATTAAAAAAAAGTAAAAAAAAAAAAAAGGAATGCTTTGGTATAAATAGAGCATCAATATCCTAACCAGTTATTTTGCATAGAAGTCTTGCATTTCCTAAGGTGGTAGCCCAAAAGGAAAGGTTATTTTCAGGAATTAAATATTCTCTCCTGTTTCTATCCAGTAGAAACACATACATTCTCACCTTCTTTCACAGCTTCCTTATCAAGTGATTTCAGTATTTCATTCTTTTTGTCTTTGTTCCCTGCCAGGGCAAACACATAGGCCAACAGGGCCTTGGTGTAGGCATGGCTGCCATGGTCTCCATTCTGTATTGTCTCCCAGGCTGACTCCAGGCAGATTAGGGCTTTGTGCACAACAGGATGCTGTAAAGGGAGAACAAGGGTACCCTGAGCTCTGTGAAAGGGGGCCCTATCAGGTCCTGTAATAAACATATGAACTAGAGGATAGGTTGTACCAGTGCCTTTCAAAGGTGTCTATCTATATCTATCTATCTATCTATCTATCTATCTATCTATCTATCTATCTATCATCTATTTATCTATCTATCCATCATTTATCTATTATCTATCATCTCTCTCTGTATCTATCCATGTCTATCTATGTATCTATATATGTATGTATCTATGTATATATCTATATGTATCCATGTATCTTTCTATCTATCCATCCTTTCATCTGCCCATCCACTCTCTGACCATCTTTTTAGAAACTACTCCTTTAAAAATTATTTTCTATTAAAAATATAAGTGAGGCAGGACTAGATGCCAAGTTTGGGATTCGTTTTGAAGCATAATCTGTTGTTTTATTGAAGATTCTCATTGCTGGGATTTGATAACTATATAACATCGTGCGAAGGAGAAGCTGTCCTTTGACTTTTAGAGGAGTGGTTTGGCCACAGGTCAATAGGTTTCATAGCAGTCTGAGAAACTGGACAAGAAACATGACACCTACAGTGACAGGGAGTGGAATCTCCAGAAGGGCAATGGCAACATAGGCAGAGAGGGTCACTTCATCTTCTACTCCTCCCTGTGAATGCAAGAGAGAAAGAGATTAATTCCACTTCAGGAAGCCCTTTCAAGGGGTCTTCTTCTCTCATGGCCACTCCCTTCTGCTCCATGGATCCTGGGAAGTTCTCATCTACATCTCCACTGTTCACAGCACATTCCCACCCCAGAGTCCATTTCTTTCTCCTCAGTAATATGTGAGTTTAGTCTCCTACCTATTGCCTCTCTTCACTCCAGTCCTTTCCTTTGGGACTTTCTCTTACCTTCTTTTTTATGTATTTCCATCTTTGGAAAATTTGTCATGAATCAGTCATTGTATTCATAACTAGCTCAGGAAAGGGATTACCTTCATGGCATTGTTGAACAGTGATCCAGAACTTGTGAAACAGCCATTGTCCTTTTGCTTCTCAGATAGCCAGTTGAGTGCTTGTGCAATGTGTGTTTCATCGATGAAGATGAAGGCTCGAGCTTGGGCAAAAGACTTGAGCACAAAGGCTGTAAGCCTGATGGAGAGAAAGAGTGGGGTGATGAATGCATTTGCTTTACTGTAGCATTATTCACATGCATCATTCACATGCATAGGAATCATGGGGACTCTTTCAAAACTCGTGAGTCAGGATAAGGGGTGATAATAGTGGACAGCAGGGGAGTTTCTCTTTGCTACTCCAAGGCAATGTTCTGTTTCTTTGGTCCCTCCCTATGATTAATCCAACACCAACTGGTTTCATGTCCTTCCTGGTTTACTTTCTCATTGATTCATGACTTTTGGCTATACCATATTTGCTCAGGTCATTGGCTAAGACATTTGTACTTCCATGGTAAGGTTCCTCCCTTCACTGATTTTTCTTTTGTAGGTGAGAAAAATCTTTTATTTAGAAACTCCTTGCTCTAAGGACAAACCACTTTTCAATGTTTCCCCCATTCCCTCAGCTTCCTTCTTGCTGCATCCACCTATCTTGTTTTCATTTATTATCTATTGTTTGCCTATGTATTTTATTTCAGAAAAACCATGCTATGTATGCAAGGTCATGTGAAGAGTGATGATAGATTTTCCAGTCTTAATTTCTATCATTTCTGGATGTTGGAAAATAACTTAGTAAAATACACACACACACACACACACACACACACACACATTCTTGTGATTAATCTTGGAGAGAAAAAAGAAAGTTCAACTTACTAAATTGAATAAAAAAATGTGTTTGGGCTGAGTGTTGGTGGCTCATGATTATAATCCTTTACTTTAGAGGCTGAGATCAGGAAATTCATAATTGTAGGCCATCCCAGGGTGGGGTGGGGTGGGGAATGGCAACACTCCTTCTCGATGGAAAACAGCTTGGCAAGGTGGCATGTGTCTTCCATCCCAGCAATGGTGGGAAGCATAAAATAGGTAGATCTCAGTCTAGGCAGACATGGGCAAAAAGCAAGGCTCTTATATCCAAAATAACCAGAGCAAGGTGGGCTGGAGTTGAGGCCAAAGTGGTAGAGTATCTGACTAGCAAGGGAGAAGCCCTAAGTTCAAATCCCAGTACAGCAAAAATGTGTTTGGGAGTCAAAGCAGATAAACCTTAAGAGTCTCAGTTCTGCCACTTATCTGTGCAACTTGAAACATTTACTCATCAGTACTAGGTATTGGTTTTTATTTCTAAAAAATGAAGTTTGTAATATCTAGTGTTCATAGAGTTGTTACGAGGAACAGAAGTTGTGCAAGGGTTGGCACAAAATTTCCTTTCTGTTTTTTTTTTTTTTTGCCTGTATGGGAGATTTGACTCAGTGTATCATTTGTACCACATTTAGATTCCTAGCATCATTTTCTTACCAAGTGTTGCCTTGATTAAGGCCATCTTCATCTCCAAAAGCACTGTAGGAGCCATCTTGGTGTTTGTAGTTCAGCTCTCTCTGGTAACCTTGAATGGAAGTTTTCATATATTTCACAAAGTATTAGTGATACATCAGAGAAAGACAGGATTATCATAGGTGCAGGTTGATGCCAGAGAAGCCAGACAGGCTCCTAATTTTTGCTGGCTTTCCCTGCATGCATGGCCCTCAAAGCACCCTGCTCTTCTATTGCATTTAAGCCTATTTCTGGAGAAAAATACTTAAAATGCCAAGTGAAGTTTCTATAGTTTACATACCAGCAAGGAGATACTCAATGGCCTTGGACTTGACTTCCTGAGTCAGCTGTTGAGTTTCATTCAGATATTTCAGGACATAGATGTTAGGAGCAAAAAGGACCATGTTCTGTTCTCCACAGCCATAGGGCATCTGGAGAAGATTTTGTATATTTTGTATGGCTGAACCTAATATGTCTCCTGGAAATGAGAGATGAGACATCAGAACAGTCATTATCTTCAAGAACAAATGACATTTATATGTAGAATTACTTCTAAAAGATAGCTCATGTGAAGGCATTTTAACTTGAGTAGAAGGTCAGATGTGCTAGGAAACCAGAAGATACTGAAGAAGTAGAGATACGAGAAGCTAAAACACTCAAGTATAGTTAAAAAGCTGCATTCAGAAACAAATATAAATGTGTGTGTTTTAAGGGAGAGTGATAGTAGCTGTGTCCCAAGTCCCCCAGGGGCTGAATGACTCACCCAAAACAGAGAAATAGGCTCTGGCTGAATCTTTCACTACTTTTGGTGGAAGCTTCAAGGGCAATTTTTCAGAAAATCCAGCATCTTGATACAAGAACAAATCAAATATATAGATGATTATCCATGATGTCTGTATTTCTAAAAAGTTCTAAGACCAGTCATTTTAGAAACGCATCTTAAACTGATCTGCTACCACCTTAGGAAACAATTTTGATTTTAACATTTTAAATTCCCATTTCTTGGGATTGCGTGGCTCGCCAAGCTACATCTCTTCATCTTTTATTCCCCATTATAGTGAATAGCAGAGGAACTATCCAAAGAAAGCTCTGAGTTTTCTGTGACCTGTGTTTACTTCTATTGAAACCTTCTTAAAATATTTTACAGTCCTATGAAGACATTACATTTATTGCTCCTAGTTTTGGCTTATGTGTGAATAGACAGCCAACATTTCAGAATAAGTAAATAGATAAGTCAAATGCAGACCTTTGTCTCCCAGGGTACTTTTACTATTGTGATCTTGTTAGTTGAGTAGCTACTCCAGGATCTTACATATCATGGAAGTCCTTACGATGGGTGTATATGTGAGATGAGTGATAGGTAGATTAGTTTGTAATGATGAAAGATTAAGAGAACTGGAATTAACCAATGGTAAAGGTATGCCTTTTATTATTCTATTCTTGGGTATTTCAGAAATAAATCTCATTAATTATCAGTGATTCCCTTTACAATTTCTACCTTTCACACAAAATTATAAGATTTTCAGTAGTTATAAAGTAAAGTTCTTAAATGTACTACATGTGGCTGTGATGTTATTTTGTCATATTTGGCAAAGTCATCTGCTTTATCTCATGTCTGTTTTGTTAGTTTTCTTATTGCGATGTATTTTATATCATGAGTTTATTTCAAAATTCAATTAAAATTTAATTCACAATTATTCATTCTGAAAACAAATAAGTTTTGAGCAATTAGTTTTTGCCTGTCACTGTTCTAGGCACTGGGAATAGAGTCAAGAACAAGAGTAGAAAGAAATCTCTGCTTTTCTTAACTTTTCACCTAGTGGAATATCTGAAGATTTTCATTTGATGATACATTTCTATAGACTCTTTTCCAAAGTTAGTTTCAGATTATGTATACATTGGCAAAAAAAGTAAGTCATATTGCAAAAATTTGAGAAAAATACTATGGTAAGTATAGATTCATGATTTGGTATAGTTTTTTGTGTCATGTCTTCATCCATAAAAATCCTTAGTTTTTGTATAAGTGCTAAGATAATAGCATAAGTCCTTTCAACATATATTCTGTACATTGTTCCCATTGGTTTAGGGAAATTTTGATTCTGACTTTTGCCTTACTATTCCTGGGCAATTTCCTCTTTTAGTCTTTATGTGTCTAGATGAAGAGGTTCCTGTTTTCTAAAGAAAAGAGCTGAAGATGAACAACTAAGATGTCCTAGGCAGTGTCTTGACTAAGGATTGTGATATTCTATGAGAATAAGTTTCCCTTATTTGTTTAATGGACATAAGGCACACAGTGTCCTGGTTTCCTAATAAGGATATTGCAAAACATCAAATTAGTTAATCTATGTGGGAAAAAATACATTGAAATTTAAAATATTTTTATTGCTGTTTCAAATAACTCTTACCTGAAGCACAGAGTAAAGAGTTGAAGGTGTATTCTTCCTTAATTCCTTCAGGCTTGGATGAAAAAGAGGGAAAATTAAGAGATGAGAAGAGGTAGAGTGTGTATCCAAGTAAAAACAGTAACGGAAGTTTTGAGAGGGTATCCACTGGCTCATTACTTATGAGGTATAGAGCTTATTTTAGATAATGCCTGCTTTCCATTACGGTAAAGGCATGAAAGTGTGAAATCTCAGGGAGCCCGGTTAAAAGAGAAAGGAATGAGGAAGAATAATTAAGAGAGAAAGGAGAAAAGAAAACACGATGGGAACAGAGGAAAGAGGTGTATCTCAAGGAAAAAAAATTGGTACAGAGCATACCTAGTCCAACTTTTAACAAATAAGAAAATAGTTGAAACAAAATTAAGGGGAAAAAAAAACCACTTGTGTTTGGAGGCATGTACTTGCTGCATGTACTTGTGAGATGTCATGAAATATACTGAGATCATGTATTATTTTTATAATTCTTTGTTACCCAAAGACAGTCACCATCATTCCACTTTCTATCAAGTAAGACAAACATACTCACCTCAACTATTAGGAGCTTGACAATGGTGTCTTTCTTTCCAATTTCAGGAACTGTAGCCAAGACAGTACCACAAAGCTTTGAGGACTGCTGTGTTTCTGCACTCACAGAGACATTCACGTTTCCTGAAACAAAGGGCCCTTAGATCTGAGCTTGGATGTGCCTGGTTCTTGATATCCTCTACAGTCCCAAGATCTAAAAGTTAACCTAAATTCTATGAGAAGTTTGAGCTCTTGCCCCTTATCTAAGAAGCTGGTAAGTATAGGATCAGAAGCAGAATTGACTGGAATCTTCTGCTTGGGGGCTCAAAGAGGGCAGCTTAATTTAAGGAACCTTCCTATAGTCATCACCTTTGAGTAGACAGAGTCCCTCAGAGAATTTTTACTCACCTAGTGACTTGGGTGTTACCAACCAGGACACAGTTTGCCGCCCATTTGCACAGAGGCAGTAAGAATCTTGGTGTTTCACAACTGGGATGGCCACAAAATCAGAAGAGGCTTCCAGCTGCACACTCACCTATAGTTCCCCATGGGACAGAGATTTATGAGGGATGTGATTTTAGAAGGGCAAGAAGGGGATGGGGCAAGTGAAAGAGCTGAGAATGAATTTAGCATGTTAAAAGAAGATGAGTAGGAGTTCTTTTGGAAAGTATGGGGTTGAAAATGACATGCAAGCTGACAGTATTTATATAAAGGACTTGCATATACTTCATATAGAAAATAAACTTCATATAGAGTTCAAATATACACATATATATATATATGTCTTATAGATATAGAGATAAAAATATATTCATTTGTAACATTTTGGTTCCCCGGTTATGGGTGATAGGGAAAGGCAACACGGGAATGTTGTCCTGAGGAAATTTATCCATGAGCATAGGTTCATGAGAATTCTTCTAGTTTATTCTACGACTATAGTCAGGATGGAATTCCTTCCTCCATTTTTATCTAGGGGCTCATCAATTCATTAAGCAGAAAATGTACATTGCAGACTTTATAAGTGGCCTCTGCACTTCAGGTGTTTTTGGTTACTTATACTAACATGATCACAAAGAAAGACTATGCTACATGCAGTTGAATATGATGAACAATAGGGGACAGGAGCAATGAAAATGCCACAGTAATTTGTAGCACTGATTTTTATGCTTCTAGACTAGGTTATAATTAAATATATTTGTAGGCAGAGGAAAGTAAAGATACATTTGTAAACTTTGAAAATGAAAAATGCTAAGGACTAGAGTTTTAAGTTATGACTTCACAAGCAGTGTCATATGTATTTTTGGAAGAAAAAGCTACTTAAGTGTCCCTTTTAACTAGGACTTGATTTTTATTGGTGTAGTAAAACAGTCATGAGCAGTATGAGAGTATTTAGGTCAAGGACAAGCTGGATGAACAATGGTGTTCTTGTAAGTATCTAACAGAACTGAAAATTCCCTCTCCTTTATGGGCATTGTGGTCATTGCAGTTATAGTCAAGGCATTGTTCAGTGTTTGTGGTGATGCTGGTGGGAACAAATCTACTGTGTTGTAGGTTATATAGAAGTATAGCAATGCAGTGACTGTGGTACATGATACTTGGCAAATACTGTAAATGACTGGTTTATATATGTACTATACTATATTTTTAATCACTTCTTAAAAGTATTATTTATAACAAAATACCAGTGTAAAACTGTAGAACACCATGCTGAGTGAGTGCTTCAAGAGGCTGTGTGGAGAAATTGACCTATATCATCCAGGTTTGTGCAGGTACATTTGGTGGTGAGTAAACAGTGATGAAACCACCTAAACACATTTCAGAACATATCCCTATTTTAAGTGAGACATTACTGCACATATGTAGCCAGAGCAAGGGAATTGCTTTGAGATCTGGAAGAGGTGTTGATGGGTCAAATGCAATCTTTCACTCCCTTTCATTTTCCACTGGATTTATTTTTTGAGTACTGAGGTTTGAACCCAGGGTCTTGCACTTGCTAGACAGGTGTTCTACCACTTGAGCCACACCCCCCCCCAGGCCTTGTTGTTTTAGTTATTTTTCAAATCGTTGCTTTATGTCCATACTGGCCTGGACTGTAACCCTCTTATTTGTTTCCCATGTAGATGGAATGACAAGTACATGCCACCATGCCCTGCTTTTATTGACTGAGAGGGGGTCTTGTGAACTTTTTTTGTTCAAGTTGGACTCAAATCATGATCCTCCCAATAGCCACTTCCCGAGTAGCTAGGATTACAAGTGTAAGTCACTGGTGCCGGGCCTTCTTTTGATTTTCGAAATTTTAAATTTAATGATCAGTTTTGATTCACACATAGTAATTTCCCTCTTCCCCTCTGGTCATGCTGAATTTGGAAAGGTCCTTACCCGGATGCATTCGGGAAGGTAGTTCGACACAGTGGCCTTGAGGGTGAAGGCCTCTCCATGGATCACAGAGTAGGGCATTGTGAGCTCCACAAAGAAGGGCTGGAAGGCTTGGAAGGAGACAGTGGGAGAGAAACCAAGTCCAGTGTCATTGGACAGGCAGAAAGCCCCTGCCTTCCACTCAGTGATGGTGTCAGGGACAGTTACTCCCACTTCAGTCACACCTGATGAGCTGGGGGATGGCGAGGTGAAGGACAGAAGGTAAGCATGTGAACTGGTTATTTCTAAGATGATGGTAACTGATGAGTGTGACCTAATGTCATACTTTTGAGTCCCCTAAAAAGTTTCAGAAAACGAACAGTGATCAACATGGAAAAATAAAAGGTCTTTCAACAGTTGTAGTCTTGCAACTTTGGTCATGCCCTCCCATAGCCCCTCAATGTCTGCACCATCATTACAAATCTGAATCTGAATTTGAAATTATCACTTAACTTTCCTCTCTTAAATACCATCTGGCAATTTTATAAGATTTAATTCTACAAGTGGTTCATTTCATGTGGAACTGACTCAAATTTACCACTCAATACAGTACCCCTGAATGGTGTTAAATATTAGAAAGCTAGATTATAGTTACTTATTCTGGTCAATTTCTAGAGTTTCAGGAATACAAATATGATTCTAATTGATAGGTAGATATAAATGGAACAAAGTTTTATAAGGTAACCATATCCCATGAAGAAAATAATTCAATAAATAATTGAAAATAATGAAGCATTGTTTTCCCACTCAGTGTAAATCAGACAAATGGAAATTACTTACTTCACCAATACCAAGTCCCAGATCCAGGTTTCAGGAAAATATTTTCGTGCAGTCTCAGTGGGCGACTCTTCATAAATTTTTGTATCACTTTTCTCATCATAAGTCATAAAAAAAGCTACAATCATTACAATGGAAGAAAAAAGTGTACGTTTCAAGACTGTTTCATACAATGTGATGTATGTGCATCACATAGCTAAATTTGAGGTTTTTTTTTTTTTTTTTGCTAACATTGAAATATTAAGACAATTGCATGGAAACAAGTAATGGAGCCACTCATTTTTCTATATGGATAACAACCATGTCAAAAGTAGAAACTGTAAAATCCTGGAGAAAGCATGACCTAGAGTAGGTAGATCTGGAAGGGAAAATGATGTATATTTTATTGGGTTGGGTTAGTAACAGAGCACTTCTAAAGCAAGACTAGAACTTTCACCTAAGAGGGAAGAAAGATAAAGGACTACCTTTCAGGCCGGTATCATCTGGCTGTAGTGAGAATCATTTGAGTACCTAATGCCCAGAAGCCAAACAATGTCAGCATTAGTAGATTCTTGGCATATTTGGGTATTAAAACCCACTGTTTTAATTTAACTGTTTAATGTGCATAAAAAACAAGAAAAAAAGTGAGTCTGTTGTGGTGGTGCACACCTGTAATCTCAGCTACTCTGGAGGCGGAGATCAGAAGGAACAAAGGTTGAGGACATCTGAGGCAAAAAGTTATGGAGACCTCATCTTAACTAATAAGCCAAACATGACAGGGTACGCCTGTTATCCCAGGTATGCGAGAGGCTTAGGTAGGAGGAGGCTTAGGTAGGAGAGACTGGCCTCTGGGAAAACTGCATGAGCCTATTGAGAAAATAACTGAAAAAAGAAAGAAAGAAAAGTACAAACTCTTGCACCTAAACAAGACACAATGGAAAATCCCTACCAAGAATGTTTCTTTGGTGGAGAGAAAGAAACTTATGACCCAAGAATGGTACCATTATTTGGGTTTGTACTGTCAGATAACGACAATCTCGAACTAGTCTGCATTTTCTTAGAATGTGTACACATTCAGGTTCATAGTTAAGGTTTCTCATTAAGTATTCCCTCTTGAATTGTCATATTTTCAGAAATGACTTGTGGAGGGCAGACACAATGACGTACTCTTCAGAGATCCATGGTCCAAATCTTTCTCATTTGGAAATTTCTGCATTGATATGACTTAATTTCTCCAGATCCTTCTCTACCATGGCCAGCAGCCTCTTCCCTTGGCCTCTGCCTTCTATTTGCCCTTCATTCCTGAATGTGTTGCTGTGTCAGTTCTTCACTCAGTGGGTTGAGCATCTACCTGGGCCTGAACCCTTTTTTTCCCATTAGGGAAAATAGGCATAGTACCTAGGCTCCTAGTTTTTTTAGGGACTCATGAAAATGTTTTAATTTCTTTTCAAATCAGGTTGAAAAAACTGTATTGCATTAATTTTAGACTGGATGGTATTTGTCTTTATCCTAGCACTGTGTAAAATAACTTTTAGCATACATATATTTAGTGAAAGTGAAAGCTCATGGAAGCAAAAATGTTCTAACACATCCTTCATGGATACTATATTTAGTAAATTTATTTTGTCTTTCCTCCATTAATAATGAATCACAAATATTGTTTTATAATTTATAATTGCATAACAATTTTTAGAACAATTTATCTTTCATTGTAAAATGATCAAGCTCCCTTTCTTCTCTTACCGTTTTCTGTCAACACTGTTCCTTTGGCTTTCCTTTCCAATTGTTTCAGTGTCTAGCTTAATGCCTTACACATTATTTTTACATAAAAAATCAGCCAACACCATTGATGATAGCTTCCTGCGTATTTCTCCCATGATGATGTTTTCGCCTTCTTTCTTTACCAGCTAAATGTGATCTACAACTTTTTCAAGGTTGGTGCTGTTCTGTCCTTAGGTAGCGTCAGATGCTTTCTGCTTAGTGTTCAAATAGAGTGAAGATGAGCCATTCATATTCCCTTCATAAGCACTTTATTTTTACCTTCACTATGTATAAAGTGCTACATTCTGACACTTTATCTTCATGCTTATTATTTCTGTCACTGACTGTTTTCCCCCTTTGTTGGACTTGGTACCTCTCACATTGTCTTTCTTTAGTTGTTCTTCAAAAGCAAAACCATCTACTCTTCATAGTGTCATGCCAGGAGGTAATATGTAGTTTTTCATAAAGATATTAAACCAATATTTTCTAAGAAATTTCCCTAGGACCTCACATCTGTGTCATGGTGTATACCTACAACATTGTTCAATATTCAGCTCAGGAGCATTGTTCCCAACATTTTTCCACCAACCACACCTCTTTTAGAGTTTCTTCATTTGTGTGCTTTCATAACTATAGATGTTTTTTAGCTCTCATTGAGCAGTAATGAAATATATAAATATATGAATCAAACTAATTCTGGTAAATTCAAATATCCTGTTCAATTTCCTGATTGATTATAATCTATTCTGAACTTGACTCCCATTACTCTGTTCCTGCATTCTATGTCCAGAACCTAATTATAGATCTATCCTTGTGATTAATCATTTTGGGAAACACAGTTCAAAATCTGTATCATCTTCATAATATTTTCATAAAATTTATTTTTGGAAAAAAGGAATGCTATTTTTAACATGGGTTAGTTATGTAATGAATTTATTGACTAGTATTATAATGTTGCTTAAGATATGAAAGACTTGGAATTTGTGGAGTGGCTCAAATGGTAGAGTGCCTGCTGTCTGCCTAGCAAGCATGAGGCTCATAGTTCAAACCCTGGTATTGCCAAAAAAAAAAAAAAGGGAAAAAAGACTGCAGGGAACAATTATTTAAGTAGTCCTCATCCTGTGAACATATTATAATCATGTCATTTTATATGATTATCTTACATTGCATAATACAAGAAGAAAATGATAATATTTTTGGAAGTACTGGGGTTTGAACTCAGGGCCCTAGTTCAGAAAATGATGATTTTGATTGTTTCACTATACTAATGAAATTAGTAAAGAAGTGAATTAATTTTCCTGCAGCCATACATAAGGACTTTTACCTTCTTATTCAGTATTTAAAAATTATATAATTTTACTATTCCAGTAAAGATAATGTATTGAAAGATGATGTTTTAGTGAGTGTTGAAGTAAATGACTAGTTGGGTACTGGTGGCTCCTGTCTGTAATCCTAGTTATTTGGGAAGCTGAGATCAGGAGGATGGTGGTTCAAGATCAACTTGGGCAAATAGTTCTGAAGACCCCATCTCTGAAATAACTAGAGCAAAATGGACTGGAGGTGTGGTTCAAGCAGTAGAGAGCCTGCTTTGCAATGGTGAGGCCCTGAGTTCAAACCCCATTCTCACCAAAAAAATAAAACAAAAGAATGAGTATAATCAGAGGTGGAAATGTTTGACCATGGATTTGACAGCATATAGCCTGGGAGCATCAGTAAAAGATTCAAAACATTTAGGATAGGATAGGAAATAGGGCGACTGTGCTTGTCTAATAGTATAATTTGACTGAAATCCATTGTATTTCATTCCAAAGCCTTTCTTTACTTAGATTATTTCTCTCCTCTTCTATGTCCCATATCCTTGTGTAACTTCTCTTCATTCCATATCACGCATTTCTATGAATTTTTTCCTGATTCATAGAATTGCCCCCTTTTTCTGTATATTTTGATTCTTAGTCTAGGAATTATTATCTTTCATCTGATTGAATTTCCTTGTTTGTTCAGTGACAATGTAGCATGTAACACATCACAAGAAACGGCTCCTGTCCTGTCTCTGCCACTTACTGTCTTTATAACACTGGGTAATTTATTTGCCCATCGAATCTTGAGTTCTTTTTTCTCTAAGCTGGACAATATATATACTCTCTTGTTTAATTAACTAATTAATTAATTTTCTATCAATTTTTATAAATAATTAATATTTTTCTTTATTTCAAATATAAGCTGATTTATTTTTTTACCTGGTCGTGGGAGTAATGCGTAGTCAAGACATAATTTAGGATGTTTTATCTTCAAATTACTCAATGCTTTTAAACCCATGTCCTGTAATTAAATGATGATCCAGTCAAGCATAAATGTTAAAAATTATGTAAAACCCCCATTTTGTTTAAAAATTAGAATACCTAATCATGATATTACAGTTTTATATAACTGAGAAGGATTATTCTTCAAATTGTGTTACTCACGCTCCTTACTATAGCAAACCTAAGTATTCAAAGGCTAAAGATTTATATGATCTAAAGAGATCTAAAGCTGAGCGTTATAATACGATGTGTAATGTAAAACCAGGGAGCATGTTGAAAGGAACACAGGATTCATAGTCAGACATTTGTGATGGCTGTGACTCACTATGATCTAAGTTACTTGAGCAAGTCACTTACCCTCTCTGTGTCTGCATTCTTATAGAAATTGTGATACCCTAGGTGGGGCACTAACTGGGTACTTTCTAAGTTTTTTCTTTCAGTGTGTACCAGCAGAACACTGGTACACACAAGGGAAGTGCTGTACTGCTGTGCTATATCCCCAGCCCTCCTCTAAGATTTGTTATTAGTATATGATACTATTCATGCTAAATAACTCACAAGGCAGAATATTAATAGAAAATGTAGACTTTACCTCCATGTATCTATAAGGGTCCCTTTCTTCATGATGTAGTTCTGAGTAGCGTATTTTATCAAAAGGGATGTTATCATTTTTCATACAATTTTCTTGGTCTTTGGGTAGTTGATTTATGTATGGAATGAAGCCAGTGTCTTTCATATCTGGAAGATTATGTACCTGTAGAAATAGAAGGAAAAAAGGAGGAAAATTCTTCTTCTTTATTTGATGATATCCAGTCAAAAAAAAAGAACCAATGCAACATTGTAATTCATTTCTTAAGTATTCATTATTTATAGACAAGAACTTATAAATATTTTCTTTTGTACGGTGATTTATTCTAGAGAAGTTTACAAGTGTTTGAGAGAAGACAAAATATAATCTACGCACCTAATACAAGTGTTTGAGAGAAGACAAAATATAATCTAAGTATCTAATTATAAAGGAACATCAAGATAGAGTTCAAATTCTGGAACTTATGTTTGAGAAAAATAATATTTATAGCACTCTTTAAAATAAACTATATTAAATATAAATTTAATAATATAGCTATAGTTTAGCACATTAGTAAAATGTCAAGATTTCATTTTTTAGCTCACTATTGAAATGCAAAAAAATCTATCACAGCTGGAATGATCAATACTCAAGCAATTTGAAAATAGTCAAGTAAAGAATTCTCTGGCTCTTCTTTCCCCTAAAAAACCACCTTCCAAGCAGGAAAAAAATATTTTCAGAACAATGTCTATCTTTAATAAAACAGAATGCATTTAGTTCTCCATATTGGAAATAAGAGAAATCCAATTGAAATTTTAAAGTAAATAGAGGAACCGCAAATGATATAGCCAGATGGAAGAATGTTAGGTCCAAGAAACTCCAAGAAATACTGATAAAGTCTAAGAAAGTTTGCTAGACAGCTCCTTAAATAGCTTAAGGATTTGGAGATATTAGGTGCTTAGGGGACAAGCCATGGGTGAATGTGTGTGTGTGAAGAAAGCAGAAAGCAAGAGATTGGTTACACTCACAGGAAGAGTGTCACAGGTTTCTATCTCTAAGACAGGAGCTTTTTCTTGAGATGGAATGGACACTCTCCAGGGAAAACTCAGCTCACAACTAATTTTTGCTTTTGGATGCTCCCTTTGAAAGAACATGCTGTCATGGGACAAGCGTTGGCTCAAACCCAGATCAAAGGATCAACCTTTAGGGCTTTGGTTAATTTAAGGATCATCAGCAAATTTCCAGTATGAGTAACAGGCACCAATACAAGCAGAGAAGGGAAAGTCTGAGGAAATAGTGGCGAGAGAGAGAGAAACTCCAAAAGAAAAAAACCCTAAAAATTATCATAGAGCTAGAAATATTTCAACTAGGAAATAAGACCAAGATATTATAAAAATAAAACAGCCGGTCGTGGTGGCTCACGCCGGTAATCAACAAGGCTAAGAGGATAAGGCAGGAGGACCACGAGTTCAAGGCCAGCCTGAGCTACACTTTGGGTTGCTAGAATGTCTCAAGTGTTAGAGTGCCTGCCTAGCAAGCATGAGGCCCTAAGTTCAAGCCCCAGTGCCACCAAAAAAAATTATATAAATAAATAAAATAAAACAATCAGAGAACAATGAATAACTTTGGAAATTAGTGATAAGATAAAGCTAATTTTAAAAACTAAATCTTTACAAATGCTAAAAGGGAAATACTGAGGAATTCTTCTAGAAAATAAAAAAACAAAGGAAAATAGCAGAGAAAAAAATGTATATTGAGGAAGAGTGAACATCTGGCTAACAAAAATTTCAGAAAGAACAGAGAAATTGTGAAAACAAACATAGTATGAAAAGTTGAAAGCTTGCTAACTCTAGCTTGCTCACATTTAAGATATATGGTAATGCTACTTAATGTGACAATAAAGAAACAATATGTTATCCAAATAAAATATTCCAAAAGTTGTATTTTATAGTCCCGTACATTTTATTTCATACATTTAAAGGCAATTTTCTAAGGAATGAGAATCTCGCCAAATACTGAATCTTCTGGTCCTTAGACATTACACTTCTTAGCCTTCAGAAAGGTGAGAAATCCATTTTGACTGTTTGAAACTATTCAATTTATGGTATTTCTGTTATTGCAGCCCAAATGCAATAAGACAGAAAATTGGTACCAAGAAGTGGGGTGCTGCTGTACCAATACTTAAAAATGTAGATGTGGCTCTGAAGTAGGGTAATGGGGAAGGCTGGAAGAGTTCTGGATGCATGTTAGAAAGAGAGTCCATTGCTATGAATGATGTTGAAAGGCAATCCTGTTGAGGGCCCACAAAAAAAAGAGGGCAGATGGAGAGAAAGCCTCCTTTTTTTTTTTAGAGCGTATCTAAGTAGTCCTGAATGAAATTTTGGTAGAAGTTGGACAGAAAAGGCTATTTTGATGAGGGCTTAGATGGAAACAAGGAATATGGTATTGAAAACTTGAAAAGGGGCCATATTTCTTACAAAGTGGCAAAGAGATTGGCTGAATTGTGTTTGGATTTTAGTGCTTTGCAGAGTGAAATTGGACACTTGCCTGAGGAAACATTTAAGCAAACTGTTGAAGGTGTGGTCTGGATCCTCTTGACCTCTTATAGTAAAATGATTTAAAGATGGAATTGTTAATTAAAAGGCCAGGAGAGCTTAATTAAAGATTTGAACAATTCTTAGCCTGTCCATCTCATAAAGAAGGGGAAATCATGCTTGGGAGAAAAAAAAGTTTAGAGTGGGTCAACCATCCATTGGTGAAGGAGGTTATTATGGATTGAACATCTTAATGGGGTTAATGACCTTATAAAGGAGGCCCAGAGATTCCCATGGCTCCTCCTGACATATGAGGACATACTCAAAGACAGCCGTCTCTGATTCAAGAAGCAGGATCTTATAAGATATAAAATATGCTGGTATCTTGATCTTGGTTGATACCCCAATCATGGATTTTGCAGCCTCCAGAACAGTGAGAAATAAATATTTTTATTTAAAACCCAAAAAAACCCAAACAAAATTCTGAGAAGTTATGAATAGGCTCACCAGAAAGTCATAATGATCTAGGGACTCCCAAATAGTAAGAACCTATGTTCTTGATGGAAACAACTAATTTAATGTTCATTCCAGTACAATAAATGAAGTATGGCCCATTACATGATTTTGGACATAAATGAAAATTTGTAAGGATTTTAGAGAGAAAATACTGAATAAACAGGAAGACTTAAGAATTAGAACAAAACTTGGCATTTAAGTAATTTTGGAAACTAGAAAGCAATGGAGCAAGTATCTTCAAAATGCTCAGTAAAAGTCATTTTTTATACTTGAAGTTCTGTGCAAGACAATGTATTAATTATTGCAGTAATAAAAATACCCAAAGTTCCAAAGGAGGTTTACCTCTCATTCTGCCTTTCTCAGAAAGCTGCTGCAGAATGCATCCCACCAAAAGAGGAAGCAACGCAAGAATGAAGTCATGTGATCCAGGACACAGTGGACCAAACCAGGAGAGCTTTGGAGGAAACCCCCAAATGAGAGTGAATTTTTAAGCCTACAGAACAGTCAGATCAGAAAAGAACAAGTGGATAGTGGCTCCAGTGGGGAAAAAAGTGAAATTAATAGAATGGAGTTAACATTATTTTATAGAATATGAAGATAGAGAGTTGAAGAAAGGGAATCCTAAGGAAATATGGAACAAGGCAGTGATTAAACTCCAAGAAAATTGGAAAGAAAAAGAGGAAATATATTCATCATATCTTATTTGCCTTAAAGATGAACAATATTTATGTGGTTACAAGAAGGAAAATTGACTAAGATTTAGCATAAATTATATCACTGACAAGATGAAGAGAGGATGGATAATAATACTTTCAGCAATACAGAATTAAATATGAAGGGAATAGCTGAAAGGATTGGAAGTGTATGCCTCCAAGGAATGGGATGAGGAAAAGTGGTGTGGAATCAGAACATTTTGTTATTTTTACTGTTTTCTCCTCATAACTCTTTTAACACTCTTTGAATTTCTAAATTAATTGCCTATGTATTTCAGATAAAATAACTACTTAAGAGCTCCTTTGTTACAACTATGTTTTTTTCCTTATTTATTTATTTTATTTTATTTCCTTTATTCATATGTGCATACAATGATTAGGTCATTACTCCCCCCTCCCCCCCCCGCCCCCTCCCTTTCCCTCCACCCCCTCCCTTTCCCCCCACCCCCTCCTTCTCCCTGCTACCACGTCGCTTCCAAGCAGATACTGTTTTGCCCTTATCTCTAATTTTGTTAAAGAGAGAGTATAAACATTAATAAGGAGGACCAGAGGTTTTTGCTAGTTGAGGTAAGGATAGCTATAGGGAGATTCCTAGTTTTGCTTCCATGTACATATGTGTTACTTTCTAAATTGATTCTTCTCGAACTAACCTTTTCTGTAGTATAACTATGTTTTGAGGGAAGTTAAAATACAAATGGGAAAACTTTACTAATAGGATCTTCAATGAATTTGGGACATAAATTCTCATTGTTAAAATTAGACAATAATTTAAACACTAGTTTAAACATGGACCAATTCCCAGAAGAATCCTGGTTAAACAATTTTTTTCTGACAATTTATATATAAACCCTAGGTTTTAAAAATGCTTTAAATAAATGTCAATAACACTTCTTAATTTTTAAAATTAGAGCTATTATGTAGTTACACTCTGTGAATACTTGTCTTAATCTAATACAAAATCCAAAAGATTTTGCGACTAGTTTATGACTTAATGTGTATTTAAAAAATTTTAAAACAGGTTGAGAACCCACTTCTATATTTTAAAATTTTTATTACTTTATTTTATCTTTATTTTAGGAATTCATAAAATTTTAATATTCCATTTTTATGAAAACTTTAATTCAGTGTTCAAAGACCAGCACTACTCTGAAAGGGTTTGTATCGAGTATCTTAAGGGGAAAAGTGATTAAAATGTTCATGCGTCTCTATCAAGGTAGCAATGGTATAATAAATTGCAGGTACATGGACAGAAGATCTGAAATTAGATACAAACCCTACAACTTACTGCCTGCTTTACTTTTTATTTCATCTTGAGTTCAATGGCTTAAGTTTTCTGAACTATACTTTTAGATCTTTTTAAAAATATTTTTTATTAGGATATATTCACTGTATGGGGGGATTCATAGTGACCATTCTGATTAGACTTATGTTGTACATTTTTTACATTGCCCCATCATCTCTCCCCTTCAACTCCCTCCCCACCTCATTTAAAGCAAATGCAAGAGGTTTCTGTTCTATTTCATGTAGGTATATGAAGTCCATGAACCATATTCCCTCACTTTAATCTCCTTCATTCACCCTCTCCACTTCCACTAGTTACCACCCCCCACTGTACCTATTTTACATCTTAGAAAGAGAATATCTCTTGGGGATGCCATGAGCATTAAGTGTGTGAATTTATGAATTTTGACCACTATAAATTTGCAAACCAACAGAAATATTTTATATTATTATTTTCTTTTCTAAACAGTGTTTCCCCTTGCTCTGAACCCCTCATGTGGGCCTTCTTGGTCTGAGGCTAATAGGGACTCACCCAGGAAGGGGAGAGCTCAGCCTCGGGCCTCAGGAGTAGCACACTTTGGTCCACGGCTCGCAGGGCACAGAGGGACTGAGGAGAAGCTGTGACTTGCAGGTGGATGTGTGAGGCAGAAAGACTTTGTGCTGGGCTGAAGCTCAAATCCACCTGTGAGAAAGGGAAGATCATAAGGCTAGTAATATACCTGACATTGCAGTCTTAAAGCCCATCACAGTTTTGAGTGACTTGCATATTCAACACACAAGTCTGTTTTGCTAAAATGTGATGTCAGAGTTACTCCTGAGATTCTCTATTTCTCTTTCTTCCATCAAGGTTTATTTAAGCAGTTAACACATGGGTCAGTCATATTCTGATGCAACAATGACCACTTGAAGTGATATTCTTGATGATTACTAATTTTAAGGATGACTTACGTATTTGATCTATTGTTCCAGGTGGAAAGTCAATTATTCTAATTGGATCTCTCTCTCTGTCTCTCTGTCTCTCTCTCTCTCTCTGTATCTATCTATCTGTGTATCTATCTATCATCTTTTTCCTGTGTTTCACACTTCATTTCAGGGGAGTGGAACGAATAGCTCTGGACTTAGTTTTATCTACAACACACAACTCATTGTGAGTGAAAGTGGGCTGATGAGTGCAGACTAGAATCATGGTTTCCTGGTGTTAAGGAGAAAAGGCAAGATATTAGTCAAAGGGAACAAAGTTACAATAAGGCAAGATAAGTAATTGCCAGAAACATACTGTATACTTACAGTATATCTTATATATTTAACAATTCCATACTATATACTCAAATTTTTAAAAAGTATTTTTGTGGTATTGGCATTTGAATAAAGGCCTTACACTTTCTACACAGGTGCTCTACCATTGGAACCACACCTCCAGCACTTTGTTTACATAAAATTTGATCACAAGATAGATTTTACATTAAGTGTTTTTATCAAAAACATACAATAATAATACAAATGTGTGAGGATCCAGTCAGCTGACCCTACTTCAGTTAGAAGCTAATGGTTTTCATGTAGCAGCCTCTCATGGCTCTATCTCTTATAGTGTTTCTATTTCTGATAATTTTTACTGACAAAGCTGTGTTATTATATCCTCTTCCTTAACAGGAACATTTGGAAAATACAACACGAGCTGTAAAAAAATGTGGGAGGAAAAAGTGTGTCAAATTCAGTTGAGAAACCTGGATTCTAAGTAACCTGACCTTGGTAGAAAATTGTATGACTTTGAATTAGTTAGTACATTACGAAGGTCTCAGGTTCTTTATCTGTAAAGTATTCTGTGTCCTTCCTAGACTCCTGTTTATTGTCTGGTTTTGTTTTATTTCAAATTTAAGGCAATAAACCACTCACTTTGTTGAGAAGACAATTTTCAATCTTAAATTTTGCAACATCCGCAATCACTTCTCCATCAGGTAAAATGGCATAGAGGAACATTTGAGCAACTGGAGACATGTCTGGCTGGATAGGGACCTCCAGAGCAAACTGGCCTTTCACTGGAGCACAGAGGAATGAGAGAAGATGGTCAAGGGCCAGGATACTGACAGGAAAACCTGAATGACACCTGAGGATTTGGGAACTGTATCTATACACTGATAACAGATAATGGAGACTTTCTTAAATCTCTCCAGTGGTTAATGGTCTTAGAACAGTCAGTAACAAGACAGGAAGATATACTTTATGATGTAAGGAGATAGTCACATTTGTGTAATACAATACATGCAGGAGTTATGACAAATAAGATATGTTGGTCACTGGCATGAAAGATCAGAATTGGCTCGTTTGGATAGATGAATACTTAATTTGCACTAAATCCTCCACTTAAAAATTTCTTTCTGAAACAATCTATTATGCTTACCAGTTATTGCTATTATTTTGTCTTTTTTTGAGGTGCTGGGGATCAACATTGGGCCACTTGAATGTTAGGTAAGTAAGCTACTATTGAGCTACATTACCAGCCCGTTAGTCCTTATTTATCATTCAAAAAATGATGTAGCTAGAATGGCCCAGGGACCAAAGTAGATCTTACTGGAGAAATATACTAAGATAACACATTTTGGCATTTTAGTGGTAATCCTTGTTTGACTGCATGGATTACTTATTTTAGGCACATCTATGAATATTTTATATTTTCAGATATTACAACTCCAGAGATAGATATTTAGTGGTGTCAGGAGATGTTCAGTTTGAGAGTTTGAGACTTTTTTGCCTGGGATTAATGGTATGAGTGTCGATCAAGTGTAGGTGGCAGAACATTGTGTTATGTCTATTGAGAATGTTTCCTGGTGCCACACAGAAGCATCATGGCATTGCTCAATTGTGGGTTATCCGTTGGTGAGTGTGTAAGGGGTACAGTCAAACATGTATTGATAGATTGGGAATACTCACATTTTTTTGGCTCCATGGGGAAAGTATGGGTTCCACTTTGTATGATTCTGCCCTTTGCCATGACCTTAAAATAAAAAGTATTTCTTCATTTTATCACCACACTTAAGAGTCTTGTCTTCTCTCTAATATAATCATTGTTGAGACTGAGGCAGTAATATTCAGCCCAGGGAGAAGTCAGAGTGTCAGGAGAAATCAAAATTTTTTCCCTCATGGTCACCTTCTGTTTCTTAACTTGGAATCAGAGCTTACCAGGTAGTAGAAGATGAGCTCCCTCTGCTCTCCCAAGACATGTCCATTCAGAGTGTAATGTGCCTGAAATATGTGAATTTGGTCACAGGGCAAGATATCAGCCATAAGCTTAAGGTGGACATAGCTCTTGCTAAAGGAGAAAACAGGATAAGCCACATGATATGCGTAAATATTTTCTTCTATCCTGCAATAGTAATCCACACAGAAACTCTGACCATTGTGTTCAACCTGGAGAAACAAAAAAAAAAGAAGGTTTGTGTCACAGATTGACTATTATAAAGAACTTCTAAACTGCATGAACTTACTGTCCCACCTGGTTGAATAGTTAGAAATTCTGTACATCTTAGTAAAAATGGGGGGAGAGTGTCTCCCTTACTGTTAATTCAGTGAACTGAAGTTCAGCACCTTAATTTTCAGGAGAATTGGGGAATATATTTATATTTGTGAATAGAGAAAATAAACTATCTTTTTGTTAAGACAAAGAAAACAATTATCAAGCTTTCATCATGCATCGAAGTATTGTTTAGAGATGCAAGTTTTAGTGTATATTAATTGTGGAAAATAATGGGTTTCATGTTGACATTTTCATGCATGTGTATAACATTCTTTGATCACATTCATCCATCCTATTACCCTCTCCCTCCACCTCCAGTCATCTCCTTCCTCTTCCCTCATAATTCCCCTTCTACTTTCATGTCTTTTTTGCTAGATTCCATATAGAGAAAACACACAATACTTGTCTTTGAGTCTGACTCATTCTGCTTAAGAGAATGATCTCCATTTCCATTCATTTTCCTGCAAACAACATGATTTTGTTCTTCTTTATGGATGGATAACATTTCATTGTGGATATACCATACTTTCTTTATCCATCCTTCTGATGTTGACTTTGATCCCTTTGGGTATATACTTAGTAGTGATATACCTGGATCATATGGTAGTTCTACTTTTGACTTTTGAGGATGTTCCAAAATCCATAGTGGCCTGCTCTAATTTACATTCATACCAGCAGTGCATAAGTGTTCCTTCCTTACCTCCTCCTCATCCTCAGTAGCATTTGTTGTTTTTTGTGTCCTTAATGATAGCCATTCTGACTAAGGTAAGTTGGAATCTCAATGTAGTTTTGATTTGTGTTTCATTGTTGACTGGGGATATTGAACATTTTTTCTTGTGTTTATTGGTTGCTTATACTTCCTCTTCTGAAAAGTGTCTATTGAATTCAATTGCCCATTATAAATTGGATTATTTGTACTTTTGGTATTTAATTTTTTGAGGTCTTTATAAATTTCGGATATTAATTCCCTATGAGATGAAGAGCCCATTTTGTGGGCTGTCTGTTCACACTGGTCATTATTTTCCTTGCTGTGCAGCTTTTTAATTTGATGCAATCCCATTTGTTAACTATTGCTGAGTACTACTCAGAAAGCTATTACCTTGTTCCTATACATGACTTTCCCTAAATTTTTCTCTAGCAGTTTTAAAATTTCAGGTCTTACATTGAGGCTTTAGCATAATTTTTTCTTTCTGAAAAATATGTCATTGAGATTTTGGTGGGTATTACATTAAACCTGTAGATTGCTTTTGGTAGTATAGTCCTTTAAAAAGTATTGATTCTGCCAAACCATGAACATCAGAGGTCTTTCTATCTTCTACTAGTTTTCTTTTTTTTTCCAATTTCTTTCTTTGTGGTTTTATAATTTTTATTTCAGAAATTTTCCATTTCCTTGGTTAAGTTTATTCTCAAAAGTTTTTTTTTTGAGGCTATCATGAATGGATTGCTTTCTGATTTCTTTCTCAGAGTGTTTGTGGTTAGTTTATAGAAAAGGTAACTGCTTTTTGTATACTGAGTCTGTATCCTGTTACTTTTGTGAAATTGTAGAATCTAAGTCTTCTCGCAAAGTCATTAGGGTCTTCTAGGTATAGGATCAAATTATCTGTAAATGAAGATAATTTAACTCATTTTCCTATTGGTATACCCTTTATTTCTTTTTTCCTGCCTCATTTCTCCAGTTAACATTCAATGCACTGTATTGAACCAGTGTAGAGAGAGTGGACACCCTGTCACATTCCAGATGTTACAGGAAATCCTTTCAGTTTTTCTTCACTCAGTATAATATTGAGGATAGGTTTGTCAATTATAGTCTTTATTATTCTGAGGTATGATCTTTTTATTTCTGGTTTCTCCAAGAATTTTATCATGATGGCATGTTGCATTTTGTCAAAGAGTTTTTCTACATCCATTGAGATGAACATGCCATTTCTGGTTTTTGACTGTATTTATATGCTGTATTATATTTATCAATTTTTGTATTTGGAACCATCATTTCAGTCTTGGTATGAAACCAACTTGGTGTTGGTATATAATTGTGTATCATCTTTTTAATGTGTCATTGAATTTGGTCTGCAACTATTTTATTGGGGATTTTTTGCAGGTATGCTTACCAAAGAAATTAGTCCATAGCTTTCTTTTTGTTGTTTTTTTGTTGTGTCCTTACCAGGTTTTGGTATCACAATAATTCTGAATTTACAAAATGAGTGTGAAAACACCTATTCCTTTAATACTTCATGGAATAGTTTGAGCAACATTGGTGTTTTTTCTTCCTTAGAGTTCTGATAGAACTCACCAATGAATCTGTCCAGTCCTAGACTTTCTTTTTGTAGGAAGAAAGTTCTAATTACTTCTTCGATCTCATTCCCATAGTTGATCTATTTAAGTTTTACATATCCTCTCAATTCATTTTTATTAGGTCATCTGTGTGGAAATTTATCCATTTATTCTAGATTTTTTTAACTCATTGGAATATAGGTTTTTCAAAATATTCCCCAATCATCTGGATTTTAGTAGTATCTGTTTTAATATTCCCATTTTCATCTCCCACATTCATTTGAGGGTCTGGAATCCTGGAAGGACTTAGCAGTGCAGTTCTAGTGCTGGGTCTCATGGAGATGGCATCAAGATGTTAGTCAAGCACAGGTTACTCCAGAGGCACCTGCACACCCATGTTTATTGCGGCACTATTCACAATAGCCAGGTTATGGAAACAGCCAAGATGCCCCACCACTGACGAGTGGATTAAGAAAATGTGGTATCTATACACAATGGAATTTTATGCAGCCATGAGGAAGAACGAAATGTTATCATTTGCTGGTAAATGGATGGAATTGGAGAACATCATTCTGAGTGAGGTTAGCTTGGCCCAAAAGACCAAAAATCATATGTTCTCCCTCATATGTGGACATTAGATCAAGGGCAAACACAACAATGGGATTGGACTTAAAATCATATGTTCTCCCTCATATGTGGACATTAGATCAAGGGCAAACACAACAATGGGATTGGACTTTGAGCACATGATGAAAGCAAGAGCAGACAAGGGAGGGGTGAGGATAAGTAAGACACCTAAAAAACTAGCTAGCATTTGTTGCCCTTAACGCAGAGAAACTAAAGCAGATACCTTAAAAGCAACTGAGGCCAATAGGAAAAGGGGACCAGGAACTAGAGAAAAGGTTAGATCAAAAAGAATTAACCTAGAAGGTAACACCCACACACAGGAAGTCAATGTGAGTCAATGCCCTGTATAGCTATCCTTATCTCAACCAGCAAAAACCCTTGTTCCTTCCTATTATTGCTTATACTCTCTCTACAACAAAATTAGAAATAAGGGCAAAATAGTTTCTGCTGGGTATTGGGGGGAGGTAGAGGGAGGGGGCGGAGTGGGTGGTAAGGGAGGGGGTGGGGGCAGGGGGGAGAAATGACCCAAGCCTTGTATGCACATATGAATAATAAAAGAAAAAAAAAAGATGTTAGTCAAGGCTGTGGTCTCTGAAGGCTTGACAGGGGGTAGAGGATCCAGTTCCAAGATGGTGGACACATATGGATCTTGGCAGATCCTTGCCTTATGAGCTTCTCCACAGAGCTCAGTGGAGTGGGTGGCCTCAGTACTCTCATTAAGAGATAGATCATTCAGGCAAAAAGGAAGAAAAGAAACTTCAGAGTTAAACTGCACCATAGACCAAATTACTTAAAAAACATCTACAAGATATTCCATCCAAGAGCTATGGAGTTCACATGCTTCTCAATAGCCCATAGAACTTTTTCCAAAATAGATCACATTTTAGTCCACAAGACAATTCTCAGCTAATGCAAAAAAATTGAAAAAATTTCTTGTATCTTATCAGATTATAATAGAATAAAATTAGAAATTAAAAGTGAGAGCAATTACAGAAAGTATACAAATAATGGAGATTGAATAATACACTTTTGAATGATCAGTGGCTCAATAAAAAATCAGGGAGTAAATTAAGATATTTCTACAATAAAATGAAGATGGAAAAAGTTACTAGAATGTTTGATATATACCAGAGGCAGTTTTAATAGAGAAGTTTATAGCTATAAGTCCCTAATAAAAAATCAGAGATTTCAAATAAATAACCTAATGATGCCCCTCAAACACTTGGAAAATAAGAACAAGCTGACAAAATTAGTAGATGGAAAAAATAATAAATATAAGTTCCAAAATTAATGAAACAGAGACTAAAGGAAGAAACAAAGGGTCAGTGAAATAAAGAATTGGCTTTGAAAAGACAAACAAGACTGACAAACCTTTAGACAAAATAACTAAAAGAAAGAGAGAAAAGACCCTAATTAATAATTAGAGATGAAAAGGGAATAGTAGAACAGATGTCACTGAAATCAAGATGAGCATTAGGGAATATATTGAAAAACTGCATTCCTATAAATGCAGTTTATAAGAAAATCTACAGGAAATGGATGAATTTGTAGACACCATGACCTACCAAAATTTAACCAAGAGGATGCAAACAAACTAAGCAAATCTATAACAAGCAGTGGGATAGAAACAGTAATAAAGATTCTTCCAATAAAGGAATTTCCAAGTCTGGGTAGATTCATCGTTGAATTCAATCAGGTGTTTTAAGAACTAATACCAATGTGCCTCATTTCATAAAATAGAAAGTGACAGAATACTTCTAAATTAATTTTGTGAAACCAATATTACCTTCATGCCAAAACTGGATAAGGACACAAAGAAAAAGAAAAGTATAGATGAATGTAGGCACAAAACTTCTCAATAAAAGACTTGCAAACAGAATTCTACAACACATTTAAAAGATCATACACCATGATTCAACATACACAAACCAATGAGCATAATGTAGCCTACAAATAGAGTCAAGGATCAAAGTCACAAGATCAACTAAATAGACGCAGAAATATCTTTTGACAAAATCCAACATCCCTTCATGGTAAGAGCCCTGAAGAAATTAGGAATAGAATGGTCATACATTAACATTAAAACAGCTGTATATGACAAGCCTAGAGCTAGCATTATCCTGAATAGGAAAAACTGAAAGTATTTCCTCTATAATCAGGAATGAGGCTAAGATGACATGTAGTACTTAATTCTTACTGCAATAAGTCAAGAGAGAGAAATAAAAGGGATAAAAGTAAGAAAGAGAAAAGTCAAGTTATCCAAATTTGCAGATGGTATGACCCTAAACTTAAAAAATCCTAAACACTCCACCAGAAAACACTTATATCTGTTAAGCACTCAACAAAGCAGCAGAACACAGAATCAATCTATGACCATCGGTAGCTATACATTGACAATGAGCATGTTGAAAAATAAGTCAGAAAACCAACCTATTCACAATGGTAACCCTCTATTGTATCCCTTCCCCCAATCAGGAATCAATCTAACTAAGCAGGTAAAAGATGAGAACTATAAAATACTGAAGAAAGAAACTGAAGAAGATAGTAAAAGATGGAAAGACTGCCCATGTTCATGGATTATCACAATTAATAGTGTGAAAATGGCAATACTATTTAGAGTGACCTACAGATTCAATGATTCAATGTAATCTTTGTTAAAATTCCAATGACATTCTTCACAGAAATAGAAATAATTATCCTAAATACGTAAGGAAGCACAAATAGCCAAAGCAATTCTGAGCAAAGAGAACAATAATCTGGGTAGCAGTATACCTGATTTCAAAACAGACTACAGAGCCATAGGAATAAACACAGCACCCACCATACCAGCACAAAACAGACACATAGACCAATAGAATGGAATGGAACAAAATAGAGTAGAAGTACCCAGAAATAAGCTCATAATTCTATGGCCATCTGATTCTCAAGAAAAGCATCAAATACTTATGTTGGAAAAAAGCAGCTCTTTAACAAATGGTGCTGGGAAAGCTAGACATCCACAAGTAGAAGATTGAGTCTGAATCTCCGTTGCTCACCCTGTACCAATTTCAGTTCAAAACACATCAAAGACTGTAGTGTAAAACCTGAAGATTTGAAACTGCTAAAGGAACACAGGAAAAACAATACTTCAAGATATTGGCAGAAGAAGTGACTTTCTGAATAGGACTCCAATCACTCAGGAAATAATAGCAAGAATTAATAAATGGGATTGCATCAAGGTGAAAAGCTTTTGGCCAGGAAAGGGAACTTACAGAGAAAATATTTCCCAGTGTCCATCAGACAAAGGATTAATATTCAGAATGTAATGAGTTATAAAACCAATGGGATTACGTCAATTTAAAAACCTTCTGCACATCTAAGGAAACAATTATCAGAGTAAAGATACAGCATATACAGAGTGAGGGAATCTTTGCCAGCTATTCATCTGAGAAGGGGTTATGATGCCAAATACATAAGGAACTAAAAAAATGAAGCAACAAAAGAATAAATAACCCAATTAATAAATGTGCAAATGAACAGTTTCCCAAAGAAGTACAAATTGCTAATAAATACATGAAGAAATGTCCAACATTCTTAGCCAAAAAGGGAAATGAAGATCAAGACAACATTGAGATTCCATCTCACCATAATCAGAATGGCCATCATCAAGGAAGCAAAAAATAAAAAATGCTGGCTAGGATGTGTGGGAAAAACAAACTTTTACACTACTGGTGTAATTGTAAATTAGTGGAGTCACTATGTAAATAAGTATGGAGGTTTCTCAAAAAGCTAAAAATAGAACTGCCACATGATCTTGCTATATCACTCCTGTGCATACACACAAAGGAATGCAACTCAGCATACCACAAGAATACCTGCATACCCATGTTTATGTGGCACAATTCACCATGGCTAAATAATGGAATCAGCCTAGGTTCCCATCAACAGATAAAGAAAAATGTTTTATGTAGACACACCCTGAAGTATTACTCAGCTACAAAGGAGAATAAAATTAGGAATTAAAATTATGCATCATGTTAGTGAAATAAGCAAGACTCAGAAAGACTAGTATCACATGTGTTCCCTCATATGCAGAATCTAGATCCATAAATACACACACACAAACAAAAACCTACGAATCTATACTAGAAGAGGACAGTGGGATGGGAAGCTGACAGGGAAAGGTCATGAGGAGGGAGTGAATATGATCAAAGTAGGTTGTGTGCTATGTGTGAAAATGACATGATGAAGCCAGTGTGCTGTGCAGTAACAAAACAGAAGTGAGACTATTTAGGAAGAAATTAGGCACCAGTGGAGAAGGAACAAGAGAGAGTAATGGAATATGAATATGACCCAACTACATTATATATGTATATGAAAATGTCATGAAGCCTATTATTTTGTATAATAAAAACTTGCCAAAGAAGCATATTTAAAGTTATCTTTATGGTGTGGCAGTTTTTTTCTGGCCTTTCTCCTAGTAATTTTAATATTTATCAAGAAATTTTCTTATTTACTTTAATATAAGCTAATTCTTTTTCTTAAGCTAAATACTATTGATTTACAACTCTGTTATCAAGGCTTCTTATGTCTAAGACTCTTATTTTCAAACTTACTTTGATAGTGAGGAGAGAATCCATAGTGTTAGTGGTGTTGATGGAGAATTCTGCCAGGCCATGCTGATCTGTGGTAGCATTGGAGAAATACCTAATTTCAGGTACACTGATCAAGACCTCTTTATGTGGGATAGGAACTTCTTTTGCATCTGTGAGGCGTACCTATAATAGAACAAGAAAGAAGACTATGGATCAGACTTGATAATGCCACCCAGAAGAATATAAGTGCAAAACTTTTTTAAAATTGTTGTGCTGGGTGGGGGTATATTGTAGCATCTTAAAAGGTTCTTCCAATGTATCAAGTATAAGACTTACCTGTTTTTGTATAAAACAAAACATCCCCCCACATTACCCTAATTCTGCTTTATTTTTTATCATTTTGCACTATTTATCACTTCCAAGTGTACATCTTTGAAATTCTACATTTTTTGAGTAAGAATAGAATGGGACAAGCTAACTATAGTAGAGGCAATTATGCACGTAGAATAAAAATTGTGGATTCTAGGACCAGCAAGTGACTGTGACAATCTCTGTTTTTAACAATAACCTATAACAAAATCTCACCAGAAAAGGTTTCTGTTGGACTCTGGCAAATTCATTAATCACCAATTGCCAGGAACCTCAAGTAGTCAAGTTTTTAAAAATATTTGTATTTCTTAAATTTATTCATATCTATTTATTACATTGAATGTATTCTTTTTATATTTTACAGTTTAAATCTTTACTAGTCCACAGTCTGCTAAATAAAGGCAGTGTCAAGGTATTACAGAAATTCTGGTTCAAATTAAGTCTTATAAATTTAATTTTATAAATTTTAGGTACACAGTTATACTGGCTTGCCTAAAAATGCTGTATTTCATCTATGGTCTAAAATACACAGTTCCAGCACCCACAATAATTCCATTTTTAAAACATATTTTACAACAAAAAGTATGTAAATTTGCAAAAATTCCAAGATACCACTTCAATATCCGCTTTTTGTGTTCTCCTTTTTGGGGGTGGGTGAGACTGGGGTTTGAACTCAGGGCTTTGCACTCACAAAGCAAGAGCTCTACCATTTGAGTCACACGTCTAGTCCATTTTGCTCTGGTTATTTTGGAGATAGGGTTTCACAAACTATTTGCCTATGTTGTCTTCAAACCGTGATCCTCCTGATCTCAGCCTCCCAAGTAGCTAGGATTATAGATGTGAGCCCCAGGCATCTGGCTTCTTTTCTCCTTACTTACAGAATTTCATACTCACACACTTCTCAGAGCTATAAAGTTACTCAATGTTGGCTAGGTACCATTTTATTCTTAAAACTTTGTTGATATCACAATATGACAGTTAACACCAGTGTGAAATCCATGAAGCAATGTCACAGCACAGCACATTAATAGTTAGACACTTGGCAAATTAAACCACATAAAAGAGAAGAAAATCTTCATTCTTTATGTTCAGAATCAGTGTTCATGAGTCCTCATATGGTGATGGTACCCTGGTTCAAATGGTAGCAGAGGCAACAGTAGTTACTTGTGAGGGCACTGAGCATAATGACACGGAAACATGTCATTGAGGTTGTTATGCCAGTGTCACCTACCACACTACCTTTCTCCAAGATGTTTTCACAGTTCTGGAATTGTAGTTTCAGTTTAAGGTGATACAAAATGAAGATAGACAACTCAGCTTTTACTCTGTAGATATCCTATGCATACTATCCTTGTGCTATAGTTTTGAACACAATTCATCCTTCAAAATTTTCATGCTCATTCTGATTTTTGCTATCCAACCATTTTGCATTCTGCCGCTCCTTTTTTGGTACTGTTATATCCAAAGGTAACCTGGAAAGCTCATGGTTGTTGAATCCCTGTATGCAGTTTTTTTTATTTTCCACAACATGGGAAATACTGTAAGTCTTTAACTCCATTATTAGAATTAGTTGAAAAATTTGCTATGTTTTCATCCTTTGAAATGCATTCTTTGCTTAGTTTTCAGGCATTAATGTGATTCTGTTCACTTTCACAAGAATACAAGATTTCTGTGAAAAGCCCAAGTCAGGATCACTCATATCAATGCATGTTTATAGTAAGGAAATAGGAAGATGATATGCACAATAACTGGAAGTTTTTGTTCAAAAACTCCTCCATCAGGACATCCTGTGAAATTATTTTTGCTCAAAAGAAATTTATCAAGGTCTCTAAAGTGAGATCCAAGTCCCTGTGAATATACACTACATGTATATTTCATTGTAGTCAATGGTTTTGGGAAAACCCCAAATTCTTTGAGGAGGAAACATCACAATATTTTGTAACCTTGTCTTCAGAGTCCGAATCACAGCCCACGTGATGAAAGAGAAGAATGCAGCCAAGAACCTGTAGGAGGTTTGGTAGAAGACCAAGATGAAACCCCAGCTCTTGGCAGGGCACCCAGGAGTCCTTGGTGGTCAGGTTGTAGGTGAAGCGTTTCCACTTGGTCAGGCCGTGTTTGAAGGACTTCGCATTTCCCAGGAGGTGGCGTGGACCAGAGATGGTGAGGAATACCATATGCAGCCTAGTAAGTACACACAGGAGGAGCAGACTTTCCTGTGCTTTAAGAGAAATCACTCAGCCACCAAGGCATTCATTGTGGAACTAAGAGTGGCAGATGTGCTGACATGGTCACAAGAAAAACTTGTAAAAGAAATGATATTTATGTCAGTGAGTAGGAATAAAATACACCAAACAATGAGAGTTTGAGACAGTGTGGAGTTATATGAACACGTAGAGCTTGTTAGTTCACAAAGGAAGCTTAGTAAAGCTTCAGGGTTCAGAGATTTCCCAAACATTTTTTATGAAGGTCTAGTACATATGGTTTTGAGATTTGGGGTTTTAGCCTTATGAAGAAATGGACAATCTTTTTTCCCCCTTTTAAGTGCTGGATATGGAACCCAGCCCTGGAACATACTAAGCACACACTCTATCACTGAACTATACTCCCAGCTCTGCAACCAAAGATCTTAAGCAGGTCTAATCTTGACCAGAACGGTCTGTGTTGCTTGCATGTCACAATACAATTTAACCATCTATGGTTCATAAAGTACTTCACCTTTGCAAAGATTGGAATCCCTCTTCTAAAGTGTGAGTCCACTTTCACAAATTCAAGTTTGGTTAAGATCCTTGTGATTTCAATTTTCCCATTTCCAGTGAATTCCAAGCCTGAGAAAGAATTTAACAAGAAAAAAAAAATACCAGCTGGAAAGGCAATTTCAAATTATTTTTCTATTCCTGCTCCCTATCTTCTTGATGAGAAAAGATATCAATATTCACACCTTCAGCTCCCATATTTTTATGGTATCCACGTACCTGTTCCCTCCTCAGTAATCTTGGCATTCACTTGAAGAGTTGTTATAGTTTGTTGATGGATTTGCATTAGTTGGAACACACTGGTGTTTTGTCTATGTGTGATGCAGCCTTTACTGTCTAGCTGATAAGTGAGGAAAATAAAGACAAAAGAACATGACAAAAGAACATGGTCTGTGGTCAATCCAAACCAATATGTGAGGGCTTCTTTTTCTTCTTCTTCTTCTTTTTTTTTTTTTTGGGTAGGACTGTCATGTGAACTCAGGGACTCACACTTGCTAGGCAGGTGCTGTACCACTTGAGTCACACCTCCAGCTTGTGAAAGCCTCTGGAGAGAACCACAATTCTGGCTGTAAGAAAGGGTTTCACTCTAATATGCAACTACTATGTGACATGGTCTTCAGCAAATTATGTAGCATCTTCGTGCATCTGCTTTATCATCTATAAAAATGATGATTATAATACCTATTTCATAGGCATGCTAATACATAAATTAATATATGTAATATACTAGAACATTGACTAGTGTGTCATAAGAATTTAATAACTGTGTGCTATCATTTAAAAGAGCCACCTTGGCCTGGGGTATAAGGTCAGTGGCAGAATACTTACCTAGATCTGTGAAGCCCTGCGTTTGATCCCTATCACTAATAAATAAATGAAATGAAATACAATGGCTGCCCTTATTTCTCAGTTGTGACTAATATTTGGTTGACAAGTTTAGCTATATATTTCTGGAAATTTTCCTTTAACAATAGTGTTTCAACGGACTGTCATTTTTTGGGGACAGAGAATTCTGAGGATTGAGCCAAGAGCTTTGCACACCCTAAGCAAGTGCTCTATCAACAAACTATACCCCAAGTTCCTGGACTATCAATGTTTAATGTTTTGATATGCTTTTCCTTTCAGATTTTCTTTCTGTATTTCTATTTCTCAGTTATTCTTGGATGTTAAAATGCCTACTTGAAAAGTTTTCACTCACCTGGTAGTTGACTTCCTTACAGTTGGTCTCAAAGTATTTGCCAAAACCATAATAAAAATACATATATCTTTGGCATATATGTATATTTACACGTCCTGGGACAGGCTTCCCATAGGTGTATCTGTCATAAGAGAAATTCACAGAGACCAAAGATTTTCCAAAAGGCAGAGACCTACTTTCTTCTCACTCATATCCCACACTATCAATCAGTCATGGAAGGCTGACTTGGTGTAGTTTCATGATAATTACAGCCAATATGATACACTTGGAAGAGCCAAGTTATGTTCATGAGGGATATAACATTACTTTGTTCATTTTGTTTTTCTGCAAAGTGAGGCATATAAGGTTAAATAACTCAAGCAGGCTATTCTGCTGGTAAGTGGTGGAGCTGAGATTTCAACTCAGGAAGACCTGAGCTTTTGAGCATTATATTCTGCTGCCTCCCATGACTTTATGATGTATGGCTCATGTTAGTTGGAAGCACGACTCAATAGATGGAGACATGTTCCCTAAGAAACTCTCTAATATTTCTCCTTTATCCTATCATTTATCTTTTCTATCTTTTCTCTCTCTGTCTCTCTCCCTCTCTCTCCTTCCTTCCTTCCTCCTCCTTCCTTCTTTCCTCCCTTCTTCCTTCCTTCCTTCCTTCCTTCCTTTCTTTCATCCTGGGGCTTGAACTCAGGGTCTTCACCTTGAGCCACTCCACCAACCCTATTTTTTTTGTGTGTGTGTGTGAAGGGTTTTTCGAGATAGGATCTCAAGAACTACTTGCCCCGGCTAGCTTTGAAGCATGATCCTCCTGATCTCTGCCTCCCAAGTAGCTAGAATTACAGGCGTGGGCCACTGGCACCCAGCCCACTTCTCTTTTCAAGTTTTTCTATCTTCTCAGAATGCTTATGGTAATACTTTACAACAAAATTGTGAACTGAAGCAGTGTCTTCTCTACTTGATCCTTAGACAGAACTGCAGGTGACTATTGTTGGTATTATTTTGGCTTACTGTGATTATAAACTTGCATCACAATTTCAAATGATTTAGTCCAATATCCTTATTTTTCTGATACAGATATGCATGATCACAACAAAAAAAGTAATATATTTAAAACAAAAGAGTTAGTGACAGGTGCTGGAGTTGGAGCAAGAACTGTGAGCTCTTATTCCGGTGCTCTTCCTACTAGATCGTGGTGTCATAATACCACATTTGGTTCATGAATCTCTTTACATGTTAGGCCAAGTGGATCTTGTCATGTACTTTTTTATGTCGCCAAAGGTGGAGAACTCATTGCTGCCAAGACAATTAATTCCATCATTCGTGTTCTTATCAGAATTAACTCAGGTTGTTTCTTCATACTATAACTTAAGCAGTGGGTATAGAGTAGTAATTGTAATGGGGGAGGAGAAATGCATGTTATGAAGAGAAAGTTCTAAAGGAAGAGAGATGCCTTAGGTATTTGTGTATTTTTATGGTGCTACAATTAGACATAATCCCCAATACTTTTTAATTTTTTTAGATAGAAGAAAGAAAAATCAGCTCACATTCCACATACTGTCACATTGACTTCTTCATCCAGTAGATTAACAACCTTTGGGACCTTTACTTGCACTTCAAATTTGGGAAGCACTATTGAGACAGATAAGAGAAATGTTGCAGGTTGGCAAGTTATTTCTCTAGTTGCCTAAATGATAAACCAGTGAAATGGTGATTTTATAATCTTGAGCTAACATCCCATAAAGGTAAAAGGTGGAGTAGTCTTAGCAAGTCATAGAAACCTCCTTTTAAATAGTAAAACATCCAAATTGGGGAAATCTTTTGCTTCTGAAAATGCTAGAAGTTTTATGAAGTTCTGTGTTTGTAGACAGATGGTCCTGGTTCTAGTCAGACGAAGCCAAGCCTACTCATGGAAACCTGATATAGCAAGTGGATTCATACCAAGGAAGTCAGAACCCATATTCCCTTTTCAATCTACCCAAAACATACCAAATTCTTCCACGATGAAGGAGTGTTCTGTCCTTTTTCCTGATTGTTTTAGTGTCACTATCTTGTAGGAGCCCTGAATGGGCTCTGATGATAGGCTGAAGGACAGCTGCTTGAGACCGTTCTCTAACTCAATATTCTGCCATTGCATAATTCGATTCATTTTTGGGTCCTAAATATGTGAAAAAGGTTTTAACTTATCCAAGTAGGTAAAGACATATGGGCAGGGATATATTTAGGAAGACTGCTGTGTTGGTGATAGGATCCTCAGGGAAATCTCTATTGTTTTTCCCTGGGAAGAGAGAAATAGAGGCAAATGGGATTTAAGAAAGCAATTGTGTGGAATGAGGGAAGGTTCCTGAGAAGACAGTCTTTAAATATATAGTCAGAATATTACAATTTATTTTCATTGTACCAATTTATTTCTGAAGGTGAAAGTTTTACATTTCTTACCTCAATGTAAACAGAAGTAAACTGAAACAAAAAGAAAAGAAAAAGAATATGTTAGCTCAGAAGTCTTAGTTATAGTAAAGTCAGTAAATTTAAAGAATGTATATTACAATGTGAGTTTCAGCCACGATTTGATAAATGTAATATCAGATAAAAAAGTCAATTGCAAAGCAGATCATAAAAGAAAAGTTTTAGATAGATGTTCCAGAACTGGCTAGAGAACTCAAACCACATTGATGATAAAAAGGAGCAGGAGAACAGAAATTCATGAATGCTTTGTGAATAAGATTTCTCTTATGTGTTGAGAGACAAATGACAGCTCTAAGAGTAGAGTGATTATATAATTAATTGTCCAAATTAGGAAATTTCTGACAATGAAAGGAGGTACTAATTGTAACTATTTTTAGATAACATTTAAAACTTGGGGCTACCCTGGGCAAATCAGAATTATGCTTACTTTACATGAGGCATTGCTTCTCATTGTAGTTCCAATCAGTGTGGTTGCAAAGGGATTAGATACATAATATGTATTATATATAGCATTTGCTATATATCTCCTGTACTAATTGAATACACTGAACCAGTGCCTAACTCTTACCCTACGAATACATGGACAAGAAATAACTGAATAATTGCTGTGGCTACAGAGCAAAGGAGAATTGCTGCTGCCTAGGATTGGGATGCACTTCCAGAGACTTATAGACAAAGAAGTCTTGAGTATTTCCTATTGGCCAGGTGAGGCCTATGTAGGAAAGAGAGTGTCAGCCAATAAAGGGGTCATTTTAGATTCTATTGTAATTGTACTGCGAAAAGAGGCAAATTTATCTTAAGCAAGGATATGGTGGAAATGAGCACATGGGTTCAATTCTGATAATTGAGGAGGCAGTGAGTATTCACTGAAAAAGAGTGCACTTGTCAAGTGTAAGGAACTGTTATTGGTATATTAATGGTCATTTCTGAGCATCCACAAAATGTATACCATGAGAATAAGAATAAGAGTTAGTTTTAACTATCCACCTTGCCTTTAGGGTGCTAGTTTAGGGCATACAAGTCAATTCAGTTCAATTATTTTCTCTTCTTTTCTTTTTCATTCCTAGCAAGGTCAGAAACCCCAGATAAGAGAGGACAAAGTAGATCCTGAAGGCTGAGGGAGGAAGAGGATCTGTGAATCTCTCATGTCTGGATTCCCATCTACAGAAAAGTTCAGCTCCAAAAAAGGAGAAGATTTAGCTTTGAATTGGGCATGGAGTTTAGATTGATACATGGGACATGAAATTCTTATTGATGAGGGATAAGAAAAACCAGGGGATTGCCAGGACTTTCATCTAGAAGCAAGGAAAAGTATAATTCAAATAACTGTTAAAGATAAATAAGTTGTGTTTGTTTATATTTCTAGAATTACAGTTTTTCAACAAGGCAGCTAATTCATGATAAAGTAAGTTAATGCAAAACAGTCCTATTTGTTATAGAAAGCTGCAAAATTTATAAGTAAAAATTCATAGAATATCGAATGAATCAAATTTGAGAACCTAGCAAATATTAAAAATAGCACACAAGAAATAAAAATTTTTAACAATAACAAGTGTCTTTTTTTAGTTCTCCAAATAGAAGTTGCTACCATTGTTGATAGCCGACTCTGGTCCAACAGGCTAGGAAATGGAGCTCAACAGAGTTATATGTTGTCATGGTCCAGCATTTATTTTCTCCATTTTTTTTTCTTTTTCTTTCTTGCTATCACTACAATTTGGCTTTGAATTTACCGTTCTGGTAAAACAATTCAAGCCAAGATAATCAACAAAAATCACAGAAATATTAAAAGACAAAATATCATTGTATGCACATATGAATGAAAGAAAAAAAGACAAAATATCTTGGTGTTCTAATATTAGGAAAAGATATCTTTTTTAATTACTAGGAAAATATCTTTATTAAATATGTAACATGGGATAAAAGAATCAGTCATTATTTAAATTCTGGATAAATTTGATTAACATCAAATATGAATGATAATCTCCCAACTCTTATGTAAATAAGACTGATCATATACAGAAAAGCTTCCAATAGTCCATATGATTATGGGACATCTGAAAGTAACTTCAAGCAAGAAAAGTAATATATGTTGATTTTTCAGATTTATAACTACAAGTAACTATTGAAAACTGATGCAGCTCATAATAGAATGGAGAAACAATGAGACAAACTAGTCCCAGCCAATCAAATCCTAAACTACACCAGATTTTCAATATTTTTGATTCATTCTAAATTGTTCTTATTATAGAGGACCTTTTATCTTTTACCCCAGTTTAGTTATGTCTAAATGCTTATCAAGATAAAATTTAAATTACACTATGTTATTTCTCTAGGAAAAAGTATCTTTTTTTGGAGGGGTGCTGGGGCTTGAACTCAGGGCCTACACCTTAGGCTACTCCATGAATCCTTTTTTGTGATTTTTTTTTTTCGAGATTGGGTCTCATGAACTATTTGCCTGGGACTGGCTTTGAACCTCGATCCTTTTGATCTCTGCCTCCTGAGTAGCTAGGAGTACAGGCATGAGCCATCAGTGCCCAGCTTAGGAAAAGGTATCTTAAGTAAGATATAAAATGCAACAACTGCCAAAGAAAAAGACTGACAAATATGACCAACACTCAATTCTATACAGTAACAATTTCCACAATATAAAAAGACAACCAAGAGACTATGAAGATAGATTTGCAAGTCATGTAATCCATATAATGAACTGTGTCTAAAATAAGGAATTTTTACATGTTATAAGGAAAAGACAAACATACTGTTGGTAAATGTGCAAAGGATAAACAGGCAAATGCAGAGAGTAGAAACTGTGAAAAGAAAAACTCACTACTTAGTAGGGAGTCAGAACTTAGTACACTGAGAAACCATTGCGTCCCATTGAAATCCTCAAAAGACATAAAAATTTGACCCTTGTTCTTGGTGAAGTAGTGGAAAAGTGGCAGTAAATATCAGTATAGGTGTTGCAGAGAGCTCCTTGTCAAAGATGTTCACACCCTCCTGTCCAGGAATTATACTGGTGACATACTGTAGAGATCCTCTCTTATAGGGTATTAAAGAGGTTTGTTCAAGAATGTTCAGTGCAGCTCTGTTACAATAGCCAAACATTGAATACAACCTAAGTGTTCACCAACAGAATGGCTAGATAAATGCTGACTTACCCATACAGTGAAGAACTAATTACACTAGAAGAATACATTACAGTGGCATAGGTTAATTTGAGTAATAATATAAATGAAAGAGTACATTGTACAGTGATATATGTATTTCAGTGCCATTGATAAAAATTTGATAAAGCATGAAAAACAGTAACATAATAGTTTAAGGAAGTCAATCTTTATCTCTGTTATTATAAGTACCAAATTCAGGATAATGGCTATCTGTGATGGGGTGTGAAGAGGAGGAAAAGGTAATGTAGAGTATATTCGCATTTTCTTTAATGTCAAATTTCTACAGAAATGATGTAAATATGGAAAAATGCCAATAGTTGATGTATCATGATTTGGGTATAAGTGCTTATGAAATTATTCATAATATCTGTGTATTTTAAGTATTTCATAGTATCAAATAGTATAGATTGGAGGAAACATTGGCAGTATGAGTATTTATTCTTTATTGAGATTGGTGGGGAAGAGTGAAGTGAATTTCCATTTGAAGAGGGGCACTTTGATAGGATAAGTGATAGTGGCAAATGGTTGATCCTATTGGAAATAATCCCATAAAGGGAAAATGCAATGATGGAGGAGAGGAAGAGAGCAGTCAGTGTTCTTAAAAAAAGTCAGAGAGGATGAGTTCAAAAGCACAGATAGAGAACTTTGAATTGGAACAGGAATAGTTCTCTTATTGTAATGGAAATAGAGGCAGAATATGAATAAATGCAAAACTGTAGGCCACTGTAGTAACTCACTTCTGTAATCCTATCTACTTGGGAGGCCAAGATCAGGATGATTGCAGTTCATGGCCAATCTTGGCAAGAAGGTAGTGAGACTTCATCACAACTAATAAAAAGCTTGGCATGGTTCCCACATGCCTGCCATCCTAAGCTACATGGAAAGCACAAATAAAAGGTTCCCAGTCGAGGCTGACCTGGGCATGAATGTGAAACCCTGTTTGAAAAAATACATAAATCAAGAAGGTTTGAGGTGTGGATCAAGTAGTAGAGTGCCTTCTGAGCAAGTGCAGAGCCTTAAGTACAAACCCCAGTACTGCCAAAAGAAAGCAGAATTATTAGTAGAGTGTGTTGTACTATTTTATTTTCTTGTTGACATTTGTCCTATAGTCAAATGAACACAGCAAAGTAACAGTTGTGCTGAGTTTGCAGGAAAAGGGACAAAAAATTGGTAATGCTGGACTGAAACCTATTGGCTTTTCCTACTAATTTCTGGGATATCTGTATAAATCTTCTGGATTATATTATGTTTCTAGGAAAGAGAGGGCATTTTCCAAAATGTCAAAAAGTGAATTTTCCATGAAAAATCTTTCTTGGATTTTATTTAATTGGAAGAAATGGGACCCTGGTTGAATACTTGAGGCTGTGGAATAAGATTCTTAACAAGGATGTCCCTAGAATAGGGACATTCTTTTCTCTTGAGGGAGGGACACTTGTCTAGTACAGTTTTTAGATGTTTAAGTAGAGCTGTAAACCAGTGTTATAAAGCCTTTGAGTATTTGCGTGATTAAATGGTATCAAGAGATGAAAATTATGTCTGTTATTGTGTGTGCCCCACTATCCTCTGGTGTATGTCTTTCTAAATGATTATTAACTGATATCTAGCTTACTATAAAGTGCAGAGGAAAAAAGTTTCATTCCCTTTTTCTCTTTTGGTGACAATCTCCTTCTCTGCTTGGGTAGGGCTACTGCTGTTGATTTTAGGGGTTTGTTGAATAAAAAATCCCTTATATTCATGTTTCCTTGTTCCCCACTGCCCCTCAAACTACTGAAGCACACACACAAAAGACTTACCAACTCATGCAGTGGCCGCAAACTTTTATCCACAGAGACAATTCGAAACTTAACTGAAAAAAGGGAAGATTTCCTTGTGAGGTCCAGAAACCCAGGCCTTTTGGGTACCATGCCAAGGAGGACACCACCTCATCTGTGGAGCTGAGCCACCCTGGAACTTCGTTCATACCTGACTGTCCTGGCTTGTACATGGGTTTGTCTGTCTGAACAAAGACCACACTTTCTTTGTTCTTTATCAGCACTACAGTCTTCTTCCTGAATTCATGTGTTGGTCCTTTTATGTGGACAGAAAAGAATACCACCTCTTCAGAAGATGAGGATCTGGGGAGCTGAGAAGAAAAAGATCATGAAAGCCTTCTCATCTCTCCATCTGGAGATCTTAGCATCTTTTCTTTACCTTTTCTCTTCCATATCACAGGAAGGTCCGTCATGAGTTATTACTTAAGTATCAGGTCAGTAATAATACCAGAACTAACAAGGGCCTCATCTTCTACATATAATAGATGACAGAGTAAATTTGTAATTTCTTCTTTAGGCAGTCCATCCTCAAGATATGGTTGCTATTATCATTAGCCTATTACTTCTTTCCTTCTCCCAATACAGAATAATAAGTCACAAAGAGGCATAACAAATGAAACTCAAATTTTCATGTGAGTCAGCAGTAACTATGAACACATGATCACCTTCATGGAGTAAAAGTAATTTTGATTAAAAAGCAGATCCAACGGTGAATCTTGAGAGAGAGGAAAAAAATTAATATGCTAATGATGGTAGCAATTAACACTTGAGGATGGTATGTCCAAAGAAGAAACCAGAAATTTATTCAGGGTATGTAGAAGATGTGGCCCTTGTTTGTTCTGGTATTATTTCAGTTTGCATTTCACCAATAGAAAATAGCCAGAACAGTCTAACTCATGCTTTCTTTCCACAGTAAAATTTTTGCAGGAATTATATAGGAAATTAGGATATTTATGACTTTTTCCTGTCCCTTATCCTTTGGTGGGAAAAAAAAATCTATATTTTGTTCTTTTGTGGGACCAAACTCTCTCTAGATTTTTTTCTTAGAAGTCAGTGATATCCTTCTAAATTAATTTTTCTATTGAAAATCAATCTCCCTATCTTTCCAATAGAAATATAACAAATTAAGATAGGTAGCTAGTACTCACAGTGAAGGAAATACATTTGAACAAGTCCTTGTCAACCACGAGGTTATCAAACAGGTTCTTGTTTCCCCAGCTGGACTCCAAGAAAGCACTTACAGTCACCGTCTCATTCAGATGGTAGAGATGGAGACAGCTTTTCTGGGGTATCTCAGTGTGGAGCTTGGAGGGGACCAGCACCATATACTGTCTGGAAAGGAAGGAATTCAGTCTGCTAAGGACAAATATCATTGTTCATGACTGTGGTTTCATTGTGATAATTATTACCATACTTAACTCTATACCCTGAAAAGGTAGGTTAACAACTTGATGTTGGGTTAGAGTGGCAAGAAAACCATTCCATGTGTTTTTGGTGATAGTCACAATTCAGTTTAGGCAGTGGTCATGCCACTCAAGGTAGGTTTTAATGGTATGATTGTTTTATGTGCTTCCCTCACTAAGTACTCAGCACTCAAATTCATGGAGGTTGTTTTTACTAAGGAAACATAGGAGGAATAATTATTCTCTACAAAGTGCATCAGCATTACACTTAATTGTCAAGTTTAATTCTTGAGAAATAGCCCAGTGCCCCCTTTTTATTTTCAATTTCTCCTCATCTTCAGATTCATAAGATTAAGTGTGGGACTCAGAGTTCCATATGTTACCCAATTTACCACTGAGTAATAGAAGTCTGTATTTTGGTGACTTTCCTCTACACCTTCAAGATATTGGAGAGTTTACCTATCCCCCAGTTTTCCAAAATCCAGCCCATCACTGCTATCTGAAAGTATGCTAAATATCACCAGATTATTTTAATATTAACCTTTTAAAGTCAAATATTCTTGTTTTTCTCCTAATCATAAAAAGAGAACAGTAATGTTATAATACAATCCCTAATAATGTGATTATTTCTGCCACCAATAAGAAATCATGTGGTACTTCATAAATTTCAGGGCAGTGTGAACCTTGCAATAGGTGCACATATACCATATTGTCATTTTTTGACACAACAGAATGCTTGGCTTGTCTAAGGCATATTCAAAGAGTTCTGACTTGCCCAAAGTCTTAATTTGCCCCAAATTTCAACTCTAATTTTAACATATAATCCAATTATGATTGTCAACAATTTAAACATTTGTTTTTAAAATTATTACATTTAAATGGCCTCAACTCAAAGCCAAGGGCCTTGAACATGGAATTTTAAGTCTAAGTGACAGGCCTGTATTAAGTCACATCTGAGTTTAGTTACAAAGTTGCTATAGAGTTGAAAGAAGATTACAGAGATCATGTAATATTAAGTTGGAAAGGGTGTTCAAGAAAACAGCTGGAGGAGCGGGGTGCGCACCCAGCAACCAGGAGCAGGAAAGCTTGTGAGAGTGGCGGAGGGAGAAAAACTCCACAGGAGAGGAGGGAAGACCCACTTCCCACGTGAACTGTAAACAAACATGGCGGCTGGCAGGAGCAGCAGCACCGCCCAGTAATCAGGAGCAGGAAAGCTTGTGAAAGTGGCAGTGGGAGGAAAACTGCATAGGAGAGGGGGGAAGACCCACCTCCCACATGAACTGTAAATAAACATGCAGGCCTGACAACGCAGGGGCAGTGTCACCTTTCCCAGTGCTTGGAAAGGGGAAAGCCTGTAGCAGAGGCTCCCGCACAGGAGAACTCTGAGCAAACAAAGCCTGTGGGACCAGGTGAGTGCTAAGCTCACCCCAGAGATCTGCATAAATAATGCCGCCAGCTACAGCAGGCTGAGAGCAGCAGGCAGGCAAGCCACAGTTGCAGATACCACTCTCAGAACTGTCTCCAGACTCTTTTTTTTCTTTTTCTCCCTACCTTTGATGAGAGAACAAAAGAATTACACCTGCAAGCCGAAAAACTTACTGAAACTGTATTGCATTTGAACTTGGGACACTTGGTGGGGCTTTTGTGTGTGTGTGTGTGTGTGTGTGAGTGTGTAGTTTTGTTCTACTTTATGCATCCCCTTTGATGAGACAACTACAGAACAACATCTGAGGCACAAACTCCAGGACTGGAGATTGAGACGGACACCCAAATTATTAAGACTGAAACTGCATTGCATATAAACTTGGAAGTTTTTTGTTTTTTTTTTAATTTTCTACTTTCCATTTTATTTTAATTCATTTTTATATATAGATATTTCTTTCATTTACTTATTTTTTATTTTTTTATCTTTGATTTTCAATCCTCTCTCTGTCTCTCTAATGTCTGTTCAGCTTACTGTCGATTAGTACACTAACACTCCCTGTTTATACCTTTGAAACTCTCTTGTCTGATACCTTGTTCTGCTTTCTCCCTCTTGTCTGTATATTTGTTTTCCCCTTTTCTTTAACTTCTTGCTTTCCATCTCAGCTCACCTTCCATTCTAAATATTACCATTGTTATTATTACAAGCTAGAAAATACTTAATTGCACACAGTACAGGGACAGTAACAACACCAAGGACAATGACGGGAAGACAGAAAAAACAGGGAAACCAGTTTCCCCACAGCAAAAAATTAGTACAGGAACCAGAGGGGAATGAAGAGAACAGAAACTCAGATCCAGACTCCAACAAAATGAAGATAAACTATGCCAAAGGACCCAATGAAGCCCACAAGAATAATTTAAAAGAAGACATACTACAGTACTCAATGAGAATTTTATAGAGATGATACTGGATAGGGTCAACCAAAATGTACAGGAGACACTCAAGAAATTCCAAGACAACAAAAATAGAGAATTTGAAAAAGCAAAAGAAGAAATAAAGGAAACCATAGAAGCACTGTATAAACACCAAAGTGAAAAGAGAACAATGAATAAAAGATAAATGAACTCAGGACAAAAATAGACAACATTAAAGAGGAAAACTGCCAGGATATGGAAAACCTCAGAAAAAAGAACGAAACAGAACTGCAAAACAAAACGGAAGGCCAATCCAGCAGAATAGAACAAACAGAAGACAGAATCTCAGAACTTGAAGATGAAATGGTAATTAAAGGAAAAACCGAAGAACTATTAATTAAACAACTCAAGACCTGTGAAAAGAAAATGCAAGAACTCACTGACTCCATCAAAAGACCAAACTTGAGAATCATGGGCATCGAAGAAGGAGAAGAGGTGCAAGCGAAGGGAATGCGTAATATTCAACAAAATAATAACGGAAAATTTCCCAAATCTAGAGAAAGATATTCCCATACAGATGCAAGAGGCCTCCAGGACACCAAACAGACCAGATCAAAATAGAACTACCCACGACATATCATCATTAAAACAACAAGTTCAGAAACTAAGGAAAGAATATTGAAGGCTGTAAGAGAGAAAAAACAAGTAACATACAAAGGTAAACCCATCAAAATCACAGCAGACTTCTCAACAGAAACATTAAAAGCAAGAAGAGCGTGGGGTGAGATCTTCCGGGCACTGAATGAAAATAACTTCAACCCCAGGATACTCTACCCAGCAAAGCTATCATTCAAAATAGATGGAGCAATAAAAGTCTTCCATGATAAGCAGAAACTAAAACAATATGTGACCACAAAGCCACCACTACAAAAGATTCTGCAAGGGATTCTGCACACAGAAAGTGACCCAACTTAACCATGAAAAGACAGGCAGCACCAAACCACAGGAAAAAGAAAAAGCAAGACAGTAGAGAGTAACATCAAGTTAGGTACACACAATCAAACCTTCAAACAACTAAGACAACTAAATGCAGGAATCACCACATACCTATCAGTACTAACGCTTAATGTTAATGGACTTAATTCACCCATCAAAAGCACCTTGACAAAATGGATTAAAAAGAAGATCCAACAATTTGTTGCTTACAGGAGACTCATCTCACCTACAGAAATAAGCATATGCTTAGGATGAAAGGCTGGAAGAAGATTTACCAAGCCAATGGCCCCCGAAAACAGCCAGCAGTAGCAATACTTATCTCTGACAAAGTAGACTTCAAACCTACATTGATCAAATGAGATAAAGAAGGACATTCCATGCTAATAAAAGGGGAAATAGACCAAAAGGAAATAATAATCATCAATCTGTATGCACCCAATGTCAACGCACCCAATTTCATCAAACATACCCTGAAAGACCTAAAAGCATATATAAACGCCAACACAGTGGTTGTGGGAGACTTTAACACCCCATTATCATCAATAGATAGGTCATCCAAACAAAAAATCAATAAAGAAATCCAAGATCTAAAATATGCAATAGATCAAATGGACCTAGTAGATGTCTACAGAACATTTCATCCAACCTCTACACAATATACATTCTTCTCAGCAGCCCATGGAACCTTCTCCAAAATAGATCATATCCTAGGGCACAAAGCAAGCCTCAGCAAATATAAGAAAATAGAAATAATACCATGCATACTATCTGATCACAATGCAGTAAAAGTAGAACTCAACAACAAAAGTAAAGACAAAAAACATGCAAACAGCTGGAAACTAAATAACTCATTACTTAATGAAGAATGGATCATCGATGAAATAAAAGAGGAAATTAAAAAGTTCCTGGAAGTCAATGAAAATGAAAACACAACCTACCGGAACCTATGGGACACAGCTAAGGCAGTCCTGAGAGGAAAGTTTATAGCCATGAGTGCATATATTAAAAAGACTGAAAGATCCCAAATCAATGACCTAATGATACATCTCAAACTCCTAGAAAAACAAGAACAAGCAAATCCCAAAACAAATAGAAGGAGAGAAATAATAAAAATAAGAGCTGAAATCAACGAAATAGAAACCAAAAAAACCATACAAAGAATTAATGAAACAAAAAGTTGGTTCTTTGAAAAATAAACAAGATCGATAGACCCCTGGCAAACCTGACTAAAATGAGGAGAGAAAAAACCCAAATTAGTAGAATCAGGAATGCAAAAGGGGAGATAACAACAAACACCATGGAAGTCCAGGAAATCATCAGAGACTACTTTGAGAACCTATATTCAAATAAATTTGAAAATCTAAAAGAAATGGACAGATTTCTAGATACATATGATCATCCAAAACTGAACCAAGAGGAAATTAATCACCTGAATAGACCTATAACACAAAATGAAATTGAAGCAGCAATCAAGAGTCTCCCAAAAAGAAAAGTCCAGGACCTGATGGATTCTCTGCTGAATTCTATCAGACCTTTAAAGAAGAACTGATACCAACCCTCCTTAAACTGTTCCATGAAATAGAAAGGGAAGGAAAACTGCCAAACACATTTTATGAAGCCAGTATTACACTTAT